CCCCCCCCCCGAATCGGACACCTTGATGTCGAGCAGACAGAATACCTACTTGAGCAGGAAGAGAAAGAGACCGAGCAGGTTGTTGTTGCGCCGCGCTTAAGCGATTACGTAAGCTTACATGAAAACGTCTGGATTAGCAAATGTGAAATTATGGAGGCGATCCCCTCCCTCTCCATTCCCCTTCATTATGAGTGTAGGCACGCGTACACGCACGTTTACAATGACCGCATCAATTGAAGGAGGTTCAAAGCAGTGAGTTGCCTGCAGCATCGGCCTTACGGACCATGAAAAAAAGGGACGCGAATGCGAAAATATTTTATCGTCAGGCTGTTCTCATCTTCATCTATTCATTTACTTATTCATGTAGCTATATATATATATATACAATACATGTATCCAAAAGTTGAGGTGTGACAGACGATTACAAAGTTGACGATGTTTAAGTAAATGTTCAGATATTTTATTTTTCGAAAAATATAGTAAGTTTCAAATAGAATTTACACCAATCAGGGCAAATATCTGGTGATTGTCCTGGCAACATGCGCCACCACGTAAAAAGAAAACTACTTTTACTTAATATGGAACCACATGTGATAAAGTTTTTTAAAAATTGCATTCGATTAAATTTTGCAGCTGTTTATACCTTTATTTATCATACCCTAGACCTTGTTTAATCGATCGATGAAATGAGGCCACTCGTCTACACAGTAATCATAATAATAAAATACAAGGTTCTGTAAAATGTGTATAGTGCGACGCGTAATAATCCACGCCTAGATAGTCAGTCCTGTTGAGATATGTGTACTCTACTTCATTAGGTCTAAGATAAAACGGAATAAAAGAGTTAATGTTTCGGGTAGACAAAATAAATACTGGATAGTACAGGGTCGTATAAACTGCAACAGTATAATAATTGTTATTCCACTACTCCGAGACTTTGGAATAATTCAAAGAATTACTTCTGATGTATTTGGCTCGCAAATTATCTCGCAAATTTCAGCGTAAGGGATCGTTTACAGTTTTAGCTATACCTATCTCTTGACTCTTATACCTACACTAATAACTAGTAAAACCGGCTATCAATGATCCATTAGATTAATGAGATTTTTTTTTTTTCATACATCCATATACATTACTCATAAGTACCCTATAAGTCTATAGAAGCTATTGTAAATCTTGGATAAAAAATGAGCAATTCGGATTGTACGCTCTTGAAAATGTTTATCTATGATGTCATTCGCGCGATAGATAAAAAAAATGATCACCAAGTCATCATGGAAAAAATTCCATAGAAGTTTTAAAAGAGACGACAAATATATACTGAAAAGCCTCACAGGACTATTACCTTGAAAATCAGCATTCATGATGAAAAATATATTAAGTTATTTGAAGATGAACGACTCACCTTGTATACATTATGTTTGATTTATTTCAATATACATGCAGTCTACGAGACAATTAATTAGGATTGAAAATTTATGCGATGAAGAACATTGGTGATCAACATTGTCGAAAACGGAAATGCAATCGGACTATTTTTCAAATGATTTTCACTAAGTAGATAAACGGTAATTTTATTGCGCCCTTTGAATAAATTATTTTTCAAAAAATACATTAAGTACTGCACGATGAGCTCGAAAACAACTTCAGCGATCATCAGAATCAGCATAAGCGCGTTGTGCGTGCACGGCATAAATAACACTCAATCTTTTCATTAAAAAAGGCAAGACCATGAAAAACCGCCTTTGAATGCTGGACTGTCAATTTATACAGGAGAGAAGAATCATGGATTAATCTTAAAGCTGGTTCGGAGAATATAATATACATATAGATATGTATTATCTCGCCCGTCAAAGTGCAAAGGAGGAGGAGGGGGGGGGGCTAGAGGTTATCGCTCCTTTATAATATATACGGTCTGACCGTCCGACAAAGTAAACAAAGTAAGCACCTATGTGCATCGATTGGGGTTCCACATATTTGTTGCTCGTATCGTAATCACCGCAACGTACCGGCGCACGCAACGCAAAAAAGGGAACGTGACTTACGCAAACAATGTATAAGTATACATAAACCTTAGGAGATCTGAAAGTGCGCGCGCCTCGGATCTGAATCAGCAACTGTTGCTTGCGTAGGTACATGTATTTTAGAAGAAAAAAAAAAAAAAAAAAAAACAGTCTACACGTAAGAGCTCCAAGCGCGCGCGTTTCTCGTGGGCACGTGAGCAATCAGGGCTTTCCAAAATTGATCGTAGGTTACGTAACAAAAAAAAAAAAAAAAAAAAAAAATTCCAATTTCTGAAGATTCTTTCCCTCCGCGTCAGAACCACAACGTTTTATTAGGGCTCTCCTTTATTTTTAAGTACAAATTTCAGGTAATTTTTAATAAGTATTAGGAATTTACTGCTTTTAAGATTTTTTTTTTTTCATAAATCATATGTAATGCAGTAATTTTTAAATATTCTTGCAACAAGATAATTTTTATCAGTAATTATTTCGAAATTTTAATTTGTACAGTTGATTTGATTGAAGGGATACGAATAGAAGCGTTTTTTTTCATTATTTAACCACAACTTCCTCCGGTTCAACAGTAAATGTGTATTTTACAGTATTGTATCCGCATCAAACTCTTGTATCTCCGTGAATAGTATAGATAGAGCCAAAAGGAAAATAAATTTATGTTCCAAATTTTGATTCTTGATGTACCGTATAGATAGATATGATAATAATAATAATAATAATAATATACTTGTGTGGAATTTAAATTGAGGTAATCGTCATACCATCTGGACCAACTACATAATATCAATAATAAATCAAGACAAATAAAAACAATGATACCTCCACAACATATATCTTGACTTTCAGAATTAAAGAAATTTTTTCCGTTTTTTTTTTTTTTTTTTTTTTTTTTTTTTTAATCCAAAAATAAATTTTTGTTAATATTTATAAACGTACATAAGAACCTTTTTCTGTTTATTTTCAAGCTAGGGAATTTTCGCCTCACTAAACCCTACCTTAGACAATATAAGCTATAGAACATATCTTCCTTATGTAAATGTGCAAAAAAAAGTCATCAATAACAATGGCAGAATTTTTTCTTTGCAGCAGAGGAAAAAATAAGCGCGTTATCTCTAGCTTACTCTTGATCAATATTATCATAAAACGTAGAAATTTAAAAATATACGTATACATTACTGTATTGACGGTACCGTATCTCAATTTTTTTTCAAGTTAATCCTGAAATTTTTAATCAACGATTCATAAAATATTGAGGTTCATACACACTCCGTGGAAAGGTATGTGGTGTGTGTGTGTGTGGACATCCGGATGCGCATTAGTGTCAAATCCTTTTTCATCCCGGACGGAGCAAACGGCTGGAGTTAAAAAAAGGAGGTAAATATGTACAATTGGGGCTTTATTAGAATCATAACCCAAAGCTAATTTAAGGTGAAGCCCCAGTTTTTCATAAATCTACCTTAACAAAATACCCAAGGTAGGAGGGTTTGTTCTATACGTTTTTTTTTAACTCAGTAATCGATATAAAAAACAAGGGAAATATAACGCGAATCTACGTAATATTTTTACTAGTAAATAGTTTTTTTTTTTTTTTTAATCATGTTTACGCTTATAATATTTAACTGATTTTCTAATAATCCTGCATTCGATTAAATTTTGCAGCTGTTTATACCTTTATTTATCATACCCTAGACCTTGTTTAATCGATCGATGAAATGAGGCCACTCGTCTACACAGTAATCATAATAATAAAATACAAGGTTCTGTAAAATGTGTATAGTGCGACGCGTAATAATNATAGTTTTTTTTTTTTTTTTAATCATGTTTACGCTTATAATATTTAACTGATTTTCTAATAATCCCATGCTTCATACCTCGCTTTATACTGTAACTTAAGTATGTACTTGCACTGCGTTACGAGTGTCAGGTGTGAATAAAAATTCTGATTAACCAAAATAAAAAAGTTTGCGTGATACGTATAAGTGCACATGAGTAATAACCCGAAGAGATATTTATATTATTGTACTATAATTGAAGTACTTAATACACCAGCTGCGCCTAGATTATCGTAATGGATACAGAATAGAGAGAGAGTTATATATATTATGATGTTGACGATAGTAAGCAAAGCACATGTGTTTGCACAGTGATGTGTATGCTACTGCTAGCATAATATAATAATAATAAGTATACGTATACGTATATTCGCCAAAAGAGAAATCACCTTCGGCAATCTTTGGATAAGTAACAGATATAATTGCAATACCAATAGTGACAGGTGTATGTTCGCGTGTATCTACAGAGGCGAATATGACAGGGGCTAGGCGGTTGACACCGGTGGCACGACAGGTTGCAATGGTTGCATTCACAAAATTTGTGCTGTGCTGCAAATAAGTATGTGGTATTCACAATGTATATAGTATATATAATCACCTTTCACACGGGGAGTGTAGTGTTCTTTACAGCACGCACTAAGTAATTTTGTTCATTACTTCGTCCCGGATTCGTACTACATCGCCTCGTGGGCAGTTTTTGATACCAACATGCATATAAATATTTTAAGTAATGTAAGTAATGATAATAAAAATAATAGGTGTGTGTGCAGTACATATTAAGCAGAGAGTGACACCGACAACACAACGTGCATACAGTGTTTTGTGTACCTGCACGTGCATAATATATAACAGATGTACCGTATAGATAGATATGATAATAATAATAATAATAATAATATACTTGTGTGGAATTTAAATTGAGGTAATCGTCATACCATCTGGACCATGACCTCGTCGCCGCCGTCGTCCTGTGGACGAGTCTCGTTAGCAATCCTTTGATAGAGACGCCACCTGTCGCGCAGCGATCCGATTCGCGGCTGTCTCGCTTTTAAGTACAGATATATCCGGTATAATATAATGTCTTATGTAGCAAAGTAACCACTAACAAGTAAGTATATAAGTACAGTGCAGCAGTTGAGTACTTTATTATACACTTGATTCGATTTATAAGCTTCCGTAATAATATATTTAAAATGCCGTATACTTATAAATAAGGTAAACACACCCGCGCTCATCACTTGTAATAATCGCACAAGGTATAATCACTATAGGTGTATATATATATACATATATACAAATGACAACAAGCGGTGTAGGCTTAATTTATAAATGCGTTTCGCGTTGTACTCTGGGATGCTCAAGCAAGCTTTGAGGCCACGTTTACTTCTGCACCTTACTTAAGTATGATTTTTCTATACACTTCTTCCACAGTTCTGTTTATCCGACTTTTCCTCCTCCTCCTCCGCTTCCGCCTCTGAGATGCCGTGGACTTGAACTGATGTGATCGCGCGGTACTTATACGCGGTCCGCGCTGTACGATGTTGTATATACATATATTCACGTGTTTCACACATGCAGCTTGTTGTGTGTGTGTGTGCCTATAGCTATAGGACTGCTATAGCAGCTTGTGACTCGGGCGCGCTGCCCGCTGCCCCTGCAGCCCGCACCCCGCACCGTGCATTATACAAGTAGGTACGTAATGTATAGTTAGTATACACGTACGCCATGCAATCCACTTGCTCTTGCGATTCTCGCGCTCGCCATTAAGTACAACCGCTGTTCGCTTCGAGCCGATGCAGAGGTTGCTCCCTCTCTAGCCAAAATCAGGCAACATTTCTTGCACGTAAACAAACGGTTTAGAACATATATACATACGTATAGCGGCTTGTGATTGGTTGAATAAGACAGCAGGAGAGGATCGTCGTTCTCTCTCTAGCTTGCCAAGTGCCAATCACAAGCAACTATACGCATGTATATATGTTCTAAACCGTTTGTTTACATGCAAGAAATTTCGCCTGATTTTGGCTAGAAGGGGCGCAACCTCTGTATCGGCTCGGAGCGAATACTGCGAGCTGTGTTGCGTTAATGCGTATACTTATACACCTGACGTATGAATACACCTACCCTATACCTAGTAACCCTATATAGCTCTATACAGTATACACAGACAGTACGCGTATATAATTATGTATAAAGCCTATAAAATATATTTCACCTATAAATATGTAATCTGTTGAGTACTTGAGTATCGTACCATTACACGACTGCAGGCGTATTCGCCGAGACCATGCGGGTGTATATAGATATTTATGAAGTGTGATTCGAGTACGCAATCACAAACTGTGACGGAATGCGCATTACGGAACTATCAGCAAGACCACGAGAGTGCGAATTCCGTGTACTTAGGTATTGCGCATTCCGTGCCGCATGTAATCGTGATGCCTTTTTATCCTGGGAGCGCACGGAAAGTAAGATCACGGGGGGATCATTAATCATTTAAATATATACCTTTCGCATTAGGTTCAGAGATAAGTAACGCATTTTCTCATAAAAAAAGTCTCACGCTTCACAGATGCACGTCTGCTATATTTTTTTTTCTTCTTCAATGCATTGTAGATGCTAGCAATGATGACACTCGGAAATGTGGCAGGTTGTGACAGGGTGGGCCATGGGGTAGGGAAAAAAAAAAGTATGCTATTGCAATTGTCGATGCAAAAAATCAAGCCAAGCCGAGCCACATGCGGGCGAAAAGCGGTTACTGAACGTGTTCGCTGAGCCGAACGAAAGCTGGGATACGAAAAATCTTATACGTTATACGCACCACAGGCGAAAGTAAAGATGAAGCCTCTGCACCTTTCCCAACTTTTCCAGCCCAGGTATGTCTGGATACCAATACGCCCATGGCGCGCAATAGCCCCGCGTGCAACTTTCACCGCTATCAGCTCACGCTCGATGCGATGCGATTGAGATTTAATCGATACGAAATACCGCCATCCCTAGCTGATCGGTAAAAATTTCTCAACGATTCTTTTTTTTCTCATTTATCAGATTTTATGCTTATCTTACGCAGTTTGATTATTACATAGTACGTATGTATGTAGTATGTACATTTACATACAAAATAGCTGTATATGGCTCCTTAAAAGCTTTTAAGGTCTTTTATGCAGGTTTCATTGAATTATAAAAATACTATGCTCTATTTTAACATCAAATAAGTCTTTGACGCTGTTGAGTTTATTTTTTTGTGCCTTTTGCACCTATTTCTCAACTTTTCAGGCTATTGGGCAACAAACAATTAATCACCGATACTAACTTGTTTGATTATAACACATCACGACCGCTGGATACCATTGTAACACCAAATGGTATTTTTATCAATAAGTGCAAATAATCGCCCCCTCCTTCACAGGTAAAATGATGTTCGAATTTCGAAATCTATTATGTATATAACGAAGGACTAAGATTCCTGTAATCGTAGGTAAAAAGCCTGTAACCCATATAATTCGAATACATTAATTAAACTACACATACAGAATAACAAAGAAAACTATTTTTCAGTTTATTGCACGTATGTGTACTCCAGGGATATTGGGTACTTATTAGAATTTTTAAAAAAATTCAAGGATCTTCCTCAATTTATTTAGTTTCAGATTTTTGGAGACGTTTTTGAAAAAATGTTTGTCTACCGTTATCTACCAACGTTTACGAAGCGCCTAGATTTTGGTAACCGAAACCGTATTAATCAAGTATGCTGTTAAGTACGAATGTTTGGGAATCCCAAATTTTTCTTCTCAAGTTACACAATAATTATGCATGTAGCTGTAGGTACACCGACCGAACACGGATTTTTAGCTTTTATTGTCCAAAGTGAAAAAATAAATGTTGAAACCGGCTTGTCCTTCGGTTCACCTTGTTTTTTTATTATTACTATTTTTTGCGTTCACTTTAATTTTTTTTTCCCCATGTATAAGAGCTGGTTCTTCACGTATTTATTAAGAACGAATTGACCCGTTATGCAATAACAATTGTGCTATTTTTTTAAATTTTATGTTAAAAAATAACAAAAATATAATAAACAAAGCAAGTGAATAAATATATTGCTTCTGTAGCACAAAAAGAGCCATTTTTTTCCTTTAATGCTTTTTAACTTTTTTTATGTATTTTATCAATTTTCACATGTTACCGTTGACTCGGTACACATAATTTGTTTTTATCCTGCGCGAAAATAAAGTTTTTAGTGTTTCAATGGGTATGTACGTATATTCATTAAAATTATAATTTTTATTAATTCTAAATAAAGTATCCGACATTTACGGAAACTATAAAAAAAAAATCACACTTTGCTCGATGAAATGAGGAAGATAGTATCTCCGATTTATTTTGGAAGAAGAGGGAAGTAATACCGACTATAGTTTAAGTTTCGTATCATATGCAACGTCACCCTGGCTCAAGTGCCATTCGTGTCACTGCAGTCAAGTTTTGTGCAGACAATCCTCATTGACAGATGGACNCTCCCAAAAAAAGGAATTAGAGTTCTACGCACAAAATTTCACGAAAACGTCGAAACCGCCCATCAGAGGTCCGAGGGCCTCGGGGCGCTTCAGATTGCTACCCAGAACTAAACTATTACTTTATACATGAGTGAGATAAAAAAAATAAAATTAAATAAAGAAATAAAAAAACAAAAGCGGACAGATTAAACTAACCTTTTTGAGGTGTGATCGGAGCTTAGAGGTGATGGAGCTGGAAAAGCGGTTGCTCGTCTTTGTCTCCATTAGTCGTTAAATACTCCATAAAGTATACATGGTAGTGAAATCAACAGTACAACATACTCATTACATACTTACGTGCAGCTAGTAAAAATCTCCATCTTTTACTTAATGCTTGCATATGATCACAATAAAGAAAACGTCATGCACAAGCCTCAAGAGGCTTGCGTATTTATGACTCATTGAGATTTGACGTATATACGATATATAACATGCAACCCATAGCTGACATAGCTATATTAGCTAATAGCTAGACGCGCACATGGCTACGTACGTGAAACATAAATCATCGCTCATATTAGTAAGTATGATTCTTCAAAAAAGACTGAAAAAAAAACTTTAGGTTTAGTTTTTGATGAAAATCAAAAAATTGTTACAAGTACAGCTTTTAAATCTTTACGCGGGTAAGTAGTACCTGCTGGCGGGGATAGTTAAATTTTTTTGTCGTCGCGCGCTTGGTCCGCTCGAGATTCGTTCCGAAACACCAACTAGTTTAAGTAACGGCAACGTTGCAATCAGCTGACGCCAACGGCGCTGTGAGAGTGATAGGAGCTGACACTAAGCAAAAACAATCGCTGTCTGACTGCGACGTTGCCATTGGCTCAACAAACTTGATCTTCGGAACGCACCCTCGGTCGTCTGCTCTTTTATCAAAACAACTTCGCGTACTCGCGTTTCATCATGCACAATAATAAATAAAGTAAAGCAGTATTGTTGCTCAAAGATTTTCGGAATAATTACCATTGTAAAGTATCACTTTCTATGTTTTTTTTGTGACTTACTTATTTTTTCTTCTCATCAATTTCATCATGATGAGGAGGCTCAGATGAAAAAACATGGCACAACTCGCTAAATTTACGAGGAGTTTGCTGATGACGTTAAGTCGCAGGCCTACAGTCACCGAGATCGCCATAAGTACCAGAGAGCACCATCAGCGTCTATGTGCTATTGCTACAAGAATAGCAATTACTTGTCACAAAAAGATATGCTCGGCTTGTCGTTGGTATGAAAATTCGAGCGGGTATTCGAGTTATGCAAGAGCACACCAGACTAAAGCACCGATTTTGCTAGGAGCCAGTCTCGGCTTTCTGGGCTTGTTCTTCAAGAAAAACGATGAAGAAAAGGAGCCCGAACTTGTGACAAGTATCAAAAGATCCGTGCTCTTGATTCAGGTACTTAGTAGCTCATGTGTCAAAGACCCTTTGTACTTGCACCACCCCAGAACGTTGTTTCATTTGAAACATTCTATGATCCCAGATGATCAATTTTAACTATTCAATTTCAAGGAATTTCAAGTGTACTTGTACATTTCTTTATTCAATGTTTAATTCATATTTACAATAAATATCACTGAAATGAGAAACTCACATTGGAATACCTTCTTTTTATGAAGTTAAATTTGAATGATTCTGGCACTGGTAATTGATCAAAGGATCGAGAGACAATGAATTATTTTGTTCCCAGAGAGGTGAATACAAAAAAGCAGAGCAAATGCTGCATTTAGCTTTGCGACAAGCACAAACTGTTGAGAACGAACAAGGGGTCACTTATATCTATGATCTAATGGCAAACTTAGCTTTTGAAATTGGAGAATATGACAAAGCTCAAAAGTTGTATACAACTGTCATGCAGAGATTACTAATGGATGGAGTGCCACAAGATGATCTAAGAATTGTTACCATGAGCTTAAAATTAGCAAAGATATTGGAGCATAAGGGAGATTACAAGTAAGTACTATAAGGTTTTTTCTGTTATTGTCATGTTTTTCACAAAGTGCCCTTATTCTTTTTAAAGTAATGCAGAAAATGGCTACAAATATTGTTTAAAGATCTTGCAAGAACACATTGATCAAGGAACAAAAGATCTTGATATTATGAATATTTCGGCTATGAGCCTAGATTGGTATGCGCACTTGTTATTAAATATGTCAAGATATACTGAAGCCATGAGACATATGAAAAGTGCTTATGAATTATGTGTAAGACTTAATGGAGAGGTCCACGAGCAAAGTGTTATTCTTTTGAATGATTTAGGATCTATAAGTTTTACAAAAGGTAATTTAGATGATGCAGTAGATTACTTAACTAAAGCTGTTGTAACAGGTAAAATTTTAGATCTAAAGTTAAAAAGTGAAATGGCTTTTGCATAAAAAATAAATTTAATTATAGGAGAAAAGTTGGCAGAAATGGATGACATCGCTTCCATCCATGTGAATTTAGGAAATGTTTATATAAAAAAAGGTTTACTAGATGAAGCTAAAAAATCTTGTTTGAAAGGATGGAAGTTGTCGAAAAAAACAAAAAATGATGAATCTATGGGAGAAGCAAAACTGTGTCTTGAAGAAATAAAGAAGTTATTAACAAAGTAAAAAGCTGTGGAAAATATTCTGAAACATTGCTTTATGTATATAACAATTTTTTTAATTTGGACAAGAACATTATAAATCTAGTCTATAGGAACAACGTCGTTAATATAGATTTTTAATTGTAAGAGTTGAAGAGTGCTAAATATTTTTTTAGATCCGTTACGTAATATTTTCTGTATATATTTACATTAATTTTGGCTCATGTATACTTATTTAAAGCTTTCTGAACAAACAAAATAGTTGAATTTTCAAATATGTACGGTATAGAAAATAAAACAAATTTAACTCGAGTGTCCCACACTAACGTATTATTTAGGCTACACTATACTTTCGACTGATCCTACTCGTAATATCAACAGTTGTACTTTATAAAAAATATATTTTAAAAGCATTACCAGCTTACAACATAAGCTTCCATAGAGATAGATTTTATCCTTAAAGCATTCACTGATTCACTCATATTCTGCAACCAACATCATCATATACACACCAACAAGCATGGCAATAATTTGTTTGATGGATTGCCAAAATTTAGTGTCGGTCAATAATTCTGGGATCACAGACACTGTGGCTATATAAATGAATCCTCCTGCTGTATAAGGTAGGATATATTTGGCAGCAAGATCACCTACACAAAACAGGAAAAAAAATTGATTGTATTAAAAGTTTACGATATCATCAAAATCATTGATACGTTTTGTTGACAAGTACTTACCCATTCCTCCAACAAGCAGAGAAATATATGTTCCTAAAAGAGCACCAATAGCAGTCACTAGTTGTAGGGCAATAGCCTGGTACAAAAAGAAGAGGAATAATTAAACAATGCAACGTCACTTGACAAATTAAGTCACCAAAATTATCACCTTTGGCTTACTGCATCCACTTTGAATAAGTATTGCAAAATCTCCAATTTCATGTGGAACTTCATGAAGTAAGATTGTAAATGTTGTTAAAATCCCAACATTATTTCCTGCCAAGTAGCTGGCACCTATCGCCAAGCCATCCGTGAAATTATGAAGAAAGTCTGCAGCCAAGTTTAAGTAGCCCGCTACTTTGATATCCTGCTTTTGCTCTTTGCACTCCCTACTTTCTTTTTCATCATTTTTTTCTTTGCTACAACTAATCTTTTCATCATTTTCCTTCTTATTCTTGATTAGTTTTTTATCTATACTGGATCCTTCATCGTGATGATGTACATGATCCATTTTGATCAAACGCACAATAATATCGACAAGTAAGAATGTAATGATACCACCTAGAACACAGAGACCCACGCTCATGTCATGTACATGCCTATGCGCTTTGGGTCCTTCGTCGGATTTGTGTTCATGGCTGTGATCATGATTGTGATCTTGACTGTGATCATGTTGAAGGGCGTGAGGAATTAAATGAAGAAAGGCATCGCCCAAGAGACCACCAGAAGCAAACGCTAGCAATACCTTGAGCAGGGGTTCGCATTCTTTGGTATTGTTTAAGGGCACAAAAAATAGAAAAATAAATGGAGCAAGAGATATAAGAAAGGTCGATCCCATGGCTTGAATAAACACATCGCCGTCGTGCCCATAATAGTTTGACTCTGGCCTCCAGTGCGGCTTCTCACCGTCCTCAATGTGCTCGTGCCCGTGGTCACGCTCATAACCCTGAGATCGTCTGTCCTGGAAGCCCTCATTAGCCTGTTTAGAGTACTTGAAACTTGCCGGCTCGTTAGAGTGTTCATGGGAAGAGACAGGAGCCGGAAAACTGAAGAAAATCACCAGCACAAGTAATGTAATGAAGATCGTGTTGACCCAGGAGCCCTTATCTTCGTTCTTGGCATCCTTGCCAGGATCCCTCATCTTACTGGATGCACGCTGCGCGTACCTGTTGAAACATTAGCTTATTATGCTGTAAATTACAAAAATCTGTGCTCAATTGTAGCAAAAAAACAATACACAATATTTCGGCCTCCGCTAAGTAAATATAACCTGTTGGCTGTAGATAGATATATAGGTAATAGGTACACGTTTAATGCATATCCTCTCTGTTTGTTGACGTTTTCTTCCCACCTAAGTATACCCAATCCCACCTTACTATACCTTAGTGCGTGGCGGAGTCATGTAAGCCGTATAGTATATATACGTGATGTATAAGACATAAGGTTTATTCAATACCAAAGTTGGAACGTCGGTAGGTTCGTTTAAACTTTAGCCCAAAATTGGTCGTTTGTCGGTCCCGGTTCCCCGAGACAAAACGTGTAAGGACCTAATTTTGTAGCCTACCCCCGTACAATCGACCAAAAAAAACATAATTTTTCTAGATATGTTTAATGGCTAAAAATGATAATTTATACTAATCAGACTTAAGTATAAGTCAGATTTTTGAAAAATTGCACTGAAAACAACGTATCCAACATAACGTCAATTTCGCCAACAAAAAGCGTCCAAAAGTGCTGCGCATATCAACCAATCGCTTTGCACGACCCATCATGGACATGGACGTCCGTTGCATTTGTCTTGCATGTTGCATGACCAACTGACTAAAGTGTATGATATATATACTCATAACGCGTTTTAAAAAGTTTAAAACAGAATTCGTTAAAGTTGAGCTCGTCAAGTGTAGTTATATTTTTATCCGAAAATCGACGACAGAATCTCAACAGTCCATTGCACCTTTGTATTGTACAGAAATATTCATATATCTGTATAGTTATAAACTCGGGTTCACCTTTGGCTTCGGCCTCGAATTCAGGATAAGCAGTCTTCCCAAGCAGATGATCCATGAGTCTGGTGAACTGTCAAGCTGAGAAAAAAGGCGGTCGTTTCGGAAGGTTATACGCATCATCTTGTTGCATGAATAATTTAAACGCCTAATAAGTACTGCATGCTTCTATTGCATTTCTTGCACAAAAAAAAGAGAGTTTCTTTTTCGTTTTCTTCGCGGCCGATGGAATAAGTATAATGTCCCAAGGTAACGCTGAACAGACACCCGCGAGACAACGCGGATTTTGCAATGCCATCTTCTCTAGTTCGCCGTACAACTTCAACAAAGAGAATAAGCCTTGTAACACGCCGTGAGTTTTTCTTTCAATACCAGTAGCAACTCGCACATTTCATTAATGTATACCTGAACAACCACTGAATCATTTAATTGCATCCATCAAATCACGCATCTCTAAATCGTTTTCAATTTTTATCATCTTTCCTACAAAGTAACCTCTGTAAAAACCTATAAAAATAAGTTTTGGATTTGGTAACTAATAAAAAGGGAATCATTTTTTACTTTAGTAACTCAACGTCGAATGCCAAGTCAAACACAAATCTGGGATCTCCTTCACGCAAACGGACTTTAGTTCATAATTTGCCGCAGAATAATAAGCCCAAAGAACAAAGTGCAACTAGAAATGTAACGCAAAATCTGAGTAAAACTCCAAAAAAGATGTTCAGAAACCTTCCACGATCCCAATCAGAAGACGTGTTGCAAGACAAGACACCAACTAAAAATGAGAGACTCAAAGTTAACAAGAACGGATCAAATCCAAGACTTTCTGGCGAGAAAATTCCTGTTACTCATTTTTGTACGCCAAAAAATGTTTCAAGTACAAAATCATGTACCAATTCTGCACGCAAGCCCATGAAGCGCTTCCTTAGTGATAACGTTCTACCTCAAACTCCAGATTGCTATAACTCTGTGCATTTGGAGACTCCAAAAGCTAAGTTTGAAAATGGAATTGAAGAGCAAACTGTGTGTGAAGGAGAAAATAGTAATTTAAACGTAGGCATTAGAGTTAGACCCTTAAATTATAAGTAAGTACTTAGTGGCAACTTTGGCTTGAATTTTTGATACATTTTAATTGTCAACTAAATAAAATCAAAATTAAAATAATTTCAGGGAGCAAGCTGAACCAAAGATTACATCCATTGTAGAAGTAAATTGTCAAAACATAATCGTAGATTGTGACACGTCAAAACATACTTTTATGTATGATCATTGTTTCTTTTCAAACAATGATTCATCCAAACCTGGACATGCAAGTCAAGAAACAGTATTCAACAGCATTGGTTTGCCACTGGTGCAAAATGCATTTGAAGGATACAATGTTTGTCTTTTTGCTTACGGCCAGACTGGTTCCGGAAAAAGTTACAGCATGATGGGTCCAGAGCCAAGTCAGCCTAATTCAATTGATATTCATCCTGATGCTGGTATTATTCCAAGATTTTGCCATGAAATTTTTCAACGAATATCGCTAGATCATAAAAACAATATTACCGTTGAAATAAGTTACTTTGAGATTTACAACGAAAAGATCCATGATCTTCTCATAAGTAATAATAACAATGGCAACAAAAGAGCTCCACTTAAAGTAAGAGAACATCCTGTCTTTGGTCCTTACATTGTTGACTTGAGCCAGCACAGTGTTCAAAGCTATGAGGATTTAAAGGTAAAATTAAAATTCATTTTACAATATTGTTGACAACGTAGCAAGTATTTCTTATAAATATTGATTATTGTGGTCAGACGTGGTTAAAAGTTGGGAACTCGCAGAGGGCCACAGCAGCAACTGGAATGAATGAAAAAAGTTCTAGATCTCACAGTATTTTTAGTATAATTTTAACACAGACAACGTCTAAAGGATTATCAACTAGTAAAATAGAAGATGCTGGAAAGCGTAGTAAAATAAATTTGGTTGATCTTGCTGGAAGTGAGAGGTTGAGCAATACATGTGCAAGTGGTGACAGATTAAGGGTAAGCTTTTGTATTTTTATAAAATGAAAACAAATATTGTTGATACATTATTTTACGAGCAAATGTACCATTTTTTAATTTCTAGGAAGGTGTGTCGATAAATAAATCGCTTCTCACATTGGGAAAAGTTATTGGATCTCTCGCTGAGAGTACAAATGACAAAAAACGCAATTTTGTTCCATACCGTGAATCTGTTTTGACGTGGCTTTTAAAGGTAAATTATTCCTTGTACTTGAATATTTTTTTGTTTATTTTTATGTACTAGTAGTGCCAAAATCAATTTATTTTGATGGAAAAATGAGAAAATTTTTTTCAAATAATACGGTGTAAATAGAATGGAATTTTTCCAGAAAACTTCTTTGCTCGGTTTTTAATGCATTGTGTCTGTATAATACGTAAACATTGGAAGGCGAATAGAGACCTTCTTGGTGGAACATTTGCAATCAGTGCCACATCTCTTGCACTGATCACCGCACTTACAGTAGCTATTGCCACATGACTTTGGCTTGTCATTGTTCGGTTCTGAAATAAAAATACACGAGTGTGTTTAGTTTAAAAAGTACGGTTTCTCACGGTTAATCAGTTTTACCGACCGCGAAGCTCATTATCCGAGTCACTTTGAAAACTTACCACTCTTAACCTGGAGATGACACTTTTCTTTTATTGCTTTCCACACCATTTTATTTAATTCGTACTTTTGTATACGCACAAGTTATGTCTCACAATTGAACTACTTGAGTAAAAATTGTATTTTTCGTCAAAATCTCGAGGAAACTTGAGGGGTTTTTTTATCGCTCTGAGGTTTGATATCACTTTCCTGTGGCAGGACATAACAACAACAACGTCACTCTTATATAGTATATATACTGTTGGTTTGAACTCGACGCAGTCGATTATATTATGCGAACCCACGGCACTCACGATACGTAATATCTAGAACTTTCGTTGACTTGGAATATACATATATAATTTTACACTTACATGATTATAATTTGTTTATAAAACCCAAAAAAAAATCTGAAACTAGCTCCAGCGTTATTTTAATTCTTTAAAAAATCGTAATTTTCAGTTTCAAATGAATTGATCTCGGACTCTGCTTAAAATTTGATGCTAAAGGTGGTTGATGCGTGTGTGTGTGTGGTGTGCAAATGACGCATGCGCTGCTTAATTTTCTTAATTCTTACCTCTTGCGTGGGTGGTCGGCGACTGCTTTTCTCAAGCCTCGTCTTTCAAAAAATTTTTATCGGTAACTACCTACAACACAGATATTCTTGAAAATACATAAGACATTGATTTAAGTGACGATTTATTGGTAAGCGATGAACTTGACTTCCGGAACACAGCTTTTACTTTGCTTACTTTAAAACATTACAAATATTTATCACATATCGAACGGAATTGAAAGAAAAAAAAAAAAAAAAAACTTGAATTTTAGCATGAAAAAATGAGCAAGTACCGAAGCATTGATTATTTACCTTAATCAAAGGTTTCAAAATTTCATATTTTTTTTTTTTTTTTTTTTTTTTTTTTTACCTAAATGACCAATATCAATTCGTTGCAATTTTGAAACTCATAGTTGAATGAAAAAAAATCGGTTAATATCATTAAAAAACAGTTTCTCTATGTTTTTTAATCTTATAGCATTTGAAGAATATCTTTTGATAAGTGATTTATTAATTATTATTGGTACAACAACATGGTGGTGGCATATGTCCATCCAATAGTTAAAAAGGTCAAATACATCAAAGGATAAAAACTATTTTTTTTTTAAGTATTCATTTTCAGCTCACGCTATTTCTAAAGAAAGTAAAGTGCAAGTGCGAAAGGTTTTTTTTCTTATTGCAACCTAGGGGCTTGCTGGCTGACATGACTCGGCATAAAAGACGGCGAAAAGTAGTAGTAACCCAATAACCCAAATTTGTGTCACTTTTTCTTTTTTTTATTCGTACCAGACAACTTTTTTGTTTTTATCGTTTCATAGATGTTTATTTAAATAGAAGGAAGCCTCAAAATAATATTTGAAATTTATAAAAACGCCATGGGATGGGGAAATTAACGATGAATCGATTGGTGTAATTAATTTAATTTCGTTAAAAACGTAACACTTTTTTCGTAGGGTCACGTTTGCCTTTGCTACTGATTTTCCTGATCAACTACGTAACATAAGCTGTTTTTCCTTTGAGGTGCGCAAAACTTGGTCCTTATTTTTGTTTAATTAATCAGTACAGTGTACACCTTTCGTTTTGCTATGCTATTTGGTCAAACAAAAAATTTTGCTATATACAGTCGTTTTGTACGTAGATGAACGAAAATAAAGATACGGTGAAAAAAAAATTAAAAAATCGTAAATTGTACCGTATATAGCTTCGCGTTAAATCAAGGAAAAATTATCCAATCCTCACAGTAAACAGCGTATGAATTTTTCTGCCACGAAGATTATACGGTAAAAATTATAGCTGGTCACAACTGTACAGTTAAAATATTATAACTTTAGGGTAAAGATGTATGTAAATTTTTTTCTCATCCATATACTATGTTTTGAAATGGAAAATATTAAAAAAAATTAGCCACAGCGTCGAAACTTATTTGCGTGGACCTGTATATGTTTCAACCAATATTGTACATTTGTATTATTTATATACGCCCATGGGCTCGCAAACAGTACTGTAGCTTATGTTCTAAGGTACTCAAATGTCTCAAGTAGCTATAATTACCATTGCATAAAATTAAAAAAAGTACACATCATCATTAGCAAGAGTAACACAGCATCAAACGCTACGATTGATGTTTATCATGCATCGTGAAATCAGCGTGTGATTACGGATAGGTACACATGAATCATCAAGGTGAATACGATTGTTTATGAACAACGTAACTACGTTCGAAACGCAAAAACACGCGCCAAAGTATAGAGTATATAGGTATTATTATAAGTTGCGCTGCGCTGGCTGCAAGAGACTCGGCATTAGTTTTTCCATACCCCGTCCACACTTGCTTGTTATACGTACATCAGTGCTCATGCACCTCTCTATAGGTATAACGTATTCCTCTCGTCAGCAAAATCACGCGTCATTACCATACAACACAACGTATTTACAAGGTAAAGCAGTTTTTGTACATATAGATAATATATATTGATGTATAAGTGCGCGTTTGCAGAAGCGGCCGTGATTGGTTTCAAGCATCCGCGGACTGCTTATTGCTTTCGGGCTTGTTGTCCGTTTGGTGCTTCTGATGCCGAACCGCGGCCGAAGCTACATCCGTCTCCTCTTGCACCTCCTCCTCGACCTCCTCGCAGATCTCGCTACAAGGTTTGTTACGCGACTTGTTGCGTATATACGCCGCTAGGCTGCGTCGCTTGTTTTCCTGGCACAGCTGGCAGGACTCTTTGCTCGATGAACCGTCGCGTCGTTGTTTTTGTTGCTGCTGCTGGCGATTATGACGATTAGCGTTCTTGTCTGAAATTTCAGTACATCATTATTTAGTGTTTTTTTTTTTTTTTTTTTTTCAACTTGAACAATGCATTACAAATTCCCAGGGACACCTACTCATAAATAGACCGATTACATGCTGTAATCAGAACATGTACATACCCCGGAGTACAAGATACCCATCTATGTACTTGTATCGTATAATCAAGTGGGTATTATCGCTTCGTCGTAATCCGATGACTCTTGGCGATTTACAGTTTTAAGATACTTACGGGCTACTTTATGATTACGCGGTTTGTAAATGATCTTTGCACCATCTCATTTTTTCCGACAAAAAAAACTGATGTTATTTATATACTTATATGTAAATATACATTTTTTTTCAAAATAGACTACAACTAGATCAGCTGGATTTAAATCGATTAACAACATTGAATAGATCGTTAGTAATTTTTTCGATAAGTTTTGTAATTGACGATAGTATAGAGCATAAAAGAAATGAAAAAATATTAATCAATGTGATTAAAAAAATCGATTGAGAGGGCAAAAAATATGCGGTAACCGGATGACTCCAATCTTAATCGTATATATTTTCGTCATGACTCGAAAGTGCAAAAGTATTGAATTTAAAACGCAATTTGTTTACACGCGCATTGATAAATCGTTAGTAGCTGCCAAAACCTTTTTGCAGCCATTCACTAATTTGATTCTCAGGAGATAAGAATGGCGAACATTGCGATTTTTTTATAACTGCAATAAATAACAGTTACCTGAAATTTTAAGCCTCTTCAACAATAACGTTGATGATATTTTGATGATGGTGAAGATAATAATAATAAAAATATAATGGAGCGGTGATGTACACCAAAAAAATTGAAAATTGATAAAGTCATCTTTGTTATCATTTTATCCAACAATTTCCTAGGTTGTCAATTAACAACTGGCAAATGATTTTGGATCGTTAATCGATGTATTGCTACATAATAAAAAATTCCGATAAACGTGCGTTTTGAGTATCGCCGACGTGCCTGTGAAAATATAGGCACATCGTCACATCTACCACACAAAACGAAACAGTTTTGCCGACGTGGCTTTGCAACCTATTTATAAATTTTATTTGCGAACGAACGAGAAAGAGAAGGAGAGACAGAGAGAGAGAGAGAAGTCAGGAGTAAGCACCTCGCCGCGTGGCGTCGTTATATCTGTACTTTTATATATTATAATGTATACGATCAAGGGGGGCGGGCCCAGTCTATACGTATACGGATGTATGCGCATAACGTGTGAGGAGAAAAAGTCCCAAAGCCCTTGATCGCATATAGGTATGTATTATTACGTGCCCGCCCGATATTCTCAAGGCGCCGACTCTTTAGAGGTATACTTTTTCTAGACGTCAACATCGCAGTTGTTTACACATATTATCCGAGATCCGAGTCAAAGTAAAAACCTTGAATTTCGTTTCCTCAAGTGTGGGACTATTGCGTGTATCTATACATCAATACAAAAAATCGCTACTGTCTAACGATCGTAGCAATAATCAACTTCATCTTTTGCACCAGATATAGCCAAGTATACCTACAGTATATAATTGTATATTAGTAATCGTTTTAAAGACAACCTAAAATTTTCATAGATTTCTTCGAGTCCCATCAATTACAATGCATTACTTGCAATTAATACAATTATTGTTTTCTCTATGTTTGATTCTTACACCGATCAGTTAAATAAAATCTTGTTATACCTAACAAGAAGAAGCCAATTTATCATATTCACAGTATTTTTTTATGCGGAAAAGGTAATAATAATGCATGGCGCGACTAATACTTCAATTATAGGTATACGATGTCAGACCTATATAGTATGGTACATCCTCGTTTACGTTTTTTTTTCTTTTTTTTAAATACTCATTTGAATTCATTGTTCTTGCCCAGCAAAACATTATAATACATTCTGTCAAATAAAATAGTTTTTTTTAATTATTAATATTATTATTTCAATAGATTCCATTGTTTAAGTTGTTAAGGCCAATGAACTATGCGACCGCTTGGTATAGGTGTAATTGTATTACTCTCCGTCCGTATACACTTTTTAGGCTTCAAGTTAATTTTCGCACGAGGCACAGCCAACTCGGCTCGTATGCCGTACCAGGTTGGTCTGAGAACGTGTTGTAACAGAAACGTTGGCTTGCACTTTAATGGCCACGGGTCGGAAAACAACATTGAACAAATTTTTTCAATTTTCACGGGTTTCACAATGACTTTGTTACACTCTCGGCTCTACTGTCCCGGGAAACATCATTTGAGTCCAAGTTGGTAATATGTTAGTTAAAAACCGAGGTACAGGGCCGCTACGGGAGATGTAAATCCCTCTTATCAGTACGTTAAGTCAAAGATTGACACAAGACTATACTTTCTTTAATGTATTCCTTGATTCTAAACAAAACAACTTAATATTTGGTATAATTAATAATACGGTTTGTGTGTCCGCTGCATGCTGTGCGTTCAGCTAGTCGAACTAGCGGCGTTTTAGCATCTAGCATCTTGGTCAGCACGTGGCAAAAAAAAAAAAAAAAAAAAAAAAAGGTGTTGATAAAGTATTTTAGCTTTCCTTTCTGGAAGCTGAATGTGTTCAACTAGAAACCGAACTCGAAGCTATAAACGATCGTTGAGCTGAAAAAACATCCGGGGACTGCTTTGACAACAGCGGGTTTTTTTTTTTTTTTTTTCGTCCGACAAAAACACTGGACGCTGGATACTGGAGGCCAGCGAGAAAATGGGTCTTTAAAAGTTACGCCTAGAGCCAGCCTTCCCCCCGAATCTCACCCACTCGGCGAATAATGCAAATTTCCTTAAACTGTGCATTTCATTTTTCATCCGGCGAATGATCAGCGTTTATGACATTTAACTGCAACTTTTGTTATCTTTTCCAAAGGTATATGCTTTGACGTCTCGGCTTACCTTGATTACACCTTTTCAGTCTACACCATGTCATTGGGTTCAGAGTAATTTTACTTTTGTGACATCACTTTATTTATTACTGATAAATACCAGTAAAGTTCTTTTTTTGTCAAACTTCCAAATCAACAAATGCATTATCTTAGGGAAAAAAGTCGGGAAAACAGTAAATAAACGATATGTTACCGGTTGTTAGTTTTACAACGATTGCGGACAGCTGTTGTTACGCTAAAAGATAATTAATGAAAAATTAAGTACGTAATTCATAGCAAACAATACAAAAATGCAAGGAAGCTTTGTGCCAAACAAATGACAGGTTTTTTTTTTATTTTCAATCGATCAACGTGGCTGCACATAAACGGATACATTCGACTTTGTTCAATAATCACTCATCGATACGCCTACTTGTAATCTTGGATACAAGATGCATGACGTATCTCATGGTTAAGCTCTTAAATCGTATATTATCCGCATTTGCGGAATAAAAAAAAAAAAAAAAAAAAAAAAAAAAAAAAAGCGAGCAGCAAAGAAAAACTTTATGAAAAGTGGTAAAAATTAAAAAAAAAAAAAAATCGAAAAGATACGTTACGTAAGAACATAATAATAAAACGTAATATCCTACCGTTGCTAAAATAGTTGCTGTTCCACGATTGCTCGTAATCGCGGTACTGGGGATTCCTGAAGAATCCAAATGTCAGTACATCCGGAATGTAAACAAGATCCATTTTGGCCCTTTATATGAGTTTTCGCACCTTCCGTCAATGTACTTTTGGGAGCAATCGTAGCACCATCAGTGGCCAAGCTGATACGGGTAGTAAAATTCTCAGTTTGGTTGATGCCTTATGCTACTCATGGTACACAAAGAGAAACAAATATTGTAAAAATTACTGGGCTTGAACGACAAATAGTATTATTCCGCTGTCCAGATGGTCTTTATTATTATTTACCATACTGGCCAATAACTCATACTGTGCCCAAGTTGTAAAATTTTCTATCACAATTAGCGATAAAAATAATAATTGTTCACTTTATTAAGTCAATAAACACTTGGTACTTGAGCGTTGTACCTCGGTAATTTTAATAATTTTTGTCTCTCTCGGTGTAAGCTGTACGAGCAAAAAAAGAGATGTCAGTACGGAGACCTTACCTTTTGCTCGAGATAAGCAAGTCGGGCGAGACGCCGCGTAATGTCGAATCAGTATAGTTTGTACCGATAAATTGCTAGCGGTCACAGCCGATTTTCTGTACGGAGACTGTACGCGGCACGGCGCACCAAGTACGTTCTAGGCCTCACCGACGTCTTTGTTTACTCCTGCGATCTGGAGCTCTGCAAAACCGGCAGCATTCACCGCTTCGAGGCACGAGAGTCCCCTCGCACCATCAGCTGTATTTTCTTCTTTGTTACCCTGAATAACTAACTGGCCCTATCACTCGGCTCGTCGTCTATTATTCATTTACTTATATGCACCTTGACTCTTCTTCAGCCCGATTTTTTCTCAAAACGAACTTTTTCGGTTACCACCACGAATTCGTTCCAGTTCATTTTCTCAATCAACTACTCATTCGAGAGAAATAGGACGGTGTCGTTTAACCGTACCGCTCGCCACTGCTTGTCGCGAAAATACATTCGGGACAACCTTTTTTTCGCCCTTATCGTCCGATAAGATAGATAGGTACGTTTATTACGTATTATAATGGCAGTAATCGAATGGGCTCGTCTCGGGTAAACTAAGCGAATCGTACTGCTAGCGCACGGATATATATAACCCGTTGGTGAGTTTACTGCTGGCTGGCGTTCCCCCCCTACCATTGCCACCTCTCCTACTGGGGGAAGAACTGCGCGTTTCTCTTCGCGACTTGTTGGTGTGTTGTGTGTTGTACATAATATATATACATATGCGAATATACGCTTTAATCCTATACGCATATCGACACGATGTATGCGTGCACTGTGGTGCAACCGTGTATGGAAGAGCGGCTTGGTCAATCGGCAAAGTTGAGCAGCTTCGGCCACGTATACTTATACTTAGTGCTTGGACTGTTGGCCGTTCGAGTCATCGCTCGCCTTGGCCGTTGATTTCGCGGATCTGTTAGCTGTCGCTCCTTGACCAAAACAGGAGTTTCAATCCTGGTGCCTATGCCTCGACCTGTGCTTTAAAATTAAAAAAATAGTATTATAACAATAATAATAGACATCCGATTGGAATTCCGGAAATATCCCTATATCGCTTAACTCGTCTCATCCTTCTCCTGTACCTTTCCCTGCATCGACAAGGACTAATCAAAAATCAATATAAGTGCCAGAAGAACTTTCAATAAGACCCATTGTGTCCAAATCAAATGTTCCGAGAAAAAGTTATTCGTGATACTTGAGTTGAGCTTTCTCTTCAAATTGACGAGTTTTATCAAAATTCACCATTCGTGGCGAAATACACTTGATATTGTCTTGTCTTTAAATTTTTATCGCTAATTATACATTCTTTAAGATTTATGCGTAAGTTACATTGACACATATTGTCATACAATTTTTCCAAAATTTATTCGACGTCCTCGAAACTAAACTACAATCGACAGTACAACCCTTGTCCTCCATTTTTTCAATTAAGTTTAAAGAAAAATATTATTTCTCACAGTTTTAGCTTTATTCGATAAAGAGTCAACACAAAAAATTTACATTACAATACATTTTCTTAGCTTTTAGCTGTCGAATAAAACCTGTAGGGGTTAAAAACAAAAGTCACAACCAACATTTACAAGCAATATTTCATTTGAGAGATATGAAAAAAAATCTGTGCTCAAATTACTTGTATTGATAATAACATATCATAATTTTTTTTGACATAAGTAATATCATTTTCAAGTTTTTTTTAACCACACGAGCTTCATTTACCTCCTTTTCGATTTTTGATCAGCTTTTGTCAAAGAAAAAGTTTTCGTTGGTTAAAATTACTTTTTTTTTAATTATCAAAGTGTATATTGTTTGTGTAATTTAAGTCACTGCAAACATGATACAGAACGGCTCTGCTGCATTAATGATACCCATGTTATATTTACATATACATACATACGTACCTTATGCCGCGTACAGTGTATGGTAATTTTTGGTAATTATTTACAATTGTATGTTCAACAAATTTTGTCACTAATACAAAAAATCAGTTGACGTACATGATGTATTATTTATCTGTCTTGTTGACTATATTAAATTTCAAATGTCCTAAGATCATCAATTTTCTTTTCTATTAGGAAAAATTAAGTTAGGAAAGCACATTTGCTTCTTCTATAATGAAATCGTACATCATTGAATGTAAATAAGGTATGGTACGTATTATTATCTCACAGGCGGAGATGTTACAACAAATTCGAACATTTAAAAGTAACACGTACAGATATTTGAATATTGTTTGAACGTGAACATGCACTTTGATAAAACATGATAGTGGCCGTGGCACCGGCAGTCTTGTTCGAGACGTAGATTTCTTTACAGTATACAAGTAATAAATCGGTACTTTTGTTTAGGCATCCCTGGATGACATTACTCATATAGGTGCTATTCATACACATAATATATATGCACAGTGCACTACATATGTAATTCCACTGTACAACCAACACGAGAATAATCATACCTCAGGGTCAGCTCTCTTTTTATTCAAGTGTGTCACAAGAAGAGGAATGTTGTTTATTATTATTATTACTCTTATTATCTTTATTTCTTACTGGTTCTTTTTCTTATTCCTTTGCACACGTACTCTCAGTTATACGCAGTAAGTTATGCCACTAAAATCTGTACATTGATTCTCGATTGTTCTCATTTACTTATTCGCCAGTTCTACCGTTTTTTTCTTTTCTTTGTCTTTTTTTCACTTTGCACCGCCACTTTTTTGTATTATCTCTCTTTCTCCCCCCCCCCCCCTAGTGACTTCTGTTTAATTGGTTTCAGTAAGCGTACGAAATTTGAAAGATTTGTAAGAATTTGCGTAATTACACCAATTATTTGGACGTTATATTCGTTCATATTTTTAATCCAACATATTTTCGAAGCATCATATGGCTATATTTATATGATTAAAACCAATATTTTTTGCGAGAAAGATCGGCCAGTATGACAAAAGTCACGATAAATTTCTCAAATCAGCTGTACAAACAATGTTGTTTTCATAACTTTAGTAGAGAGTAAAAAGTTTCATATCGAATTTAATGATTTAAGAGTCTTATTTATAAGTATATAAAATAAATTTATGTTTATATATTAATAGTTTTGTTTTTAATTTTTCTAACCAATTTAAACATACAAGTGTACTGTTTTGATAGTTTTTGGATAACGGATTACGAATTCTAACAAAGTTATGGTAGTCGAACTCTTCAACGTAACGTCAGATTCATTATGAATGACCCAAAAAATCGTAATTATTATGCTAATCTTCATTTTTTTTTTGTATTTAATTATTTACGCTGTCAGTAAATTTTTTGTATTTGTCTTCATACATACAATTTTGACTACATAGATGTGCAATGGACATTTGCCATATTTGTTATAAATTACTTTTCTTCGATTGTACGAGAAAAAATTATCTTCGATTTATAATAATTTTAGTAAAAATACATGCAGCTTCTAAAAATTATATTAGCCACTCGTGGCAAAGTATTTCTTTTACCTTCAGACTAAACCATGACGTATGCAACTCGGGCGTAAATGTATACTAGTATCGCTCCCTTATTCGCAGGGGTAGAAGACGTATTTGTCACTCGTGTAGTACATCACTTGCGTCAATATTTTGTAAATATTTTATAATTTATTTTTTAAGTTTTCATAAAATAAATTTGCACAAGTTTGGAATCTGCACTTGTAATCAAATGTGCATTTATAATCTTTACATAGTCTTTACTGAGAACCATTGAAAACTATGCGTCCTATCGCTATACCTCGTAATTCTGCAGAAATTTTACATACCTGCCACATACCTAAGTTGCTACCCTCATGTAAACGTAATAAATTAGTATATTTTGCTGTGTATGCTTATGCGACTGTCACAAAATAATCATGAGTCGTATGTTTTTTTTTCCATGGTTAATGCTTTTTTACCAAGTACGTTGTATTTTTTTGTTTTTGTTGTACCTTACGATCTTTGATTGCATTTACGTAATCGCGAGAACACAAATTTTTCAATTTGTTTTATACACTCCGTGTGCGTGGGAGCGTGCATATGTAGATGTAATGTAATGTCATGTATCGAATAACGTTAATAGCAGGAATACATTCGGAGTTGTAAAATTATGTCCTTTTGCATGATCTGAAATAAATATTTCTACAAACAATTTTAATTGAAAAAAACGTAGTACGAGTGTAACGTGGCCAATTTACGGAATAGGAAAAAAAAGCAAAAAAATTTTATTTTAATGCCCTTGAATGGAATTGCAAAAATGTATGTTCCAAATGAAATGTACCTATCTCTCTACGACAAAAATACACAAATCTGTGCGAAAAATTAAAAATAATTTTAAGAATACCTGAAATTGTATACGTGACACTAGAATATATATTCTAAAGTAAAAACTGAAAGTCTTATTACTATTGATACAGCGATAATTTTTTAGCGATTTTATCGAAACTCCATTTTGTAACAATTATCATCTTTCAATTTCACAGTGTTTTATACACAATAATGATTTATCCGTATAGTTCTAATTATCTACTACTAATTAAGTACTGATTATTCTGATTGTAATCTGTTTGGTATTGGTTGACAATTTTATAAAAATTTAATCCACACCGTTTTTTTCATATACCTCGATACAATTTGGCACAACTTTTTTTTTTTTTTTTTTTTTTTCTTCAAGTTGCAAATATAAGCGTGGTAATGCTTGCAAGCATATTATTTTAATTCGATGATATTCTACGGGGACTCGTGTAAAAAGTATCATTTTTTTCCTTATATTTTTCACGTGAATATTTGAATCCTCGTTTCAATAACAAGTACGATTAATACACAGTTAAGATGGGTCTTCCCAATTTGGCATGACATGATAATGGCCACAAAATTTTATTACAAATTCATAACGTGTAACTTCCTCTCTCTCGCATATGTAGGTACGTGACTATATTGTATCAAGTTGTTATTTATTTTGAAGCGACATGATTGCTTTAAACCTACCTTTGCAGATAAAAACGGTCACGTGAATGTGACAAGCGTACCTTTTTGCTCAAATTGAAATCATTTGTTTAATTGATAACTTTTCATTTTGTCAACAAAAGTTTAACAGCACTGATAAAACAAAACATAAATAAGTCATCTATCAACTTATAAATAGGTCATCTATCAACTTTTTACGCAATCCCACGTTAACTTGTTAATTGATCGGGTTGCATTTAATCATCAACTTTTTGAAATGGGTGCGTATTAAAAGCTTTCTGCGTGTCTCAAATAATTTATTGCACTCAATCACTGCAACCAGTCAGGGATGTGATAAAAAAGTATTCCTAAAGCTGGCGATTCTTCGTAAGTCCTGTTTGTGCATTATACCTGCTAAAACTTCATTATTTGCGTCGTTTCGTCATGCTGTACGTTCACCTTTCATTATTGTCTTATCGCAAACCAGCCGGCTTATCAACCAAACAAAAACTACTTTGTTCACATTTGTTTTTGTGTTTTCCGAATGGTAAAGAAAATGGGGCGAGGGGTGGCTACTACCACGTGAGCAATACGTTAACACAAAAAAAATACATGTCAATTATTTTCAGGAGAGTCTCGGCGGAAATTCTCGCACGGCTATGCTCGGCACGGTTTCGCCGGCCAACATACATCTGGAGGAAACGCTGGCCACGTTGAGATATGCCTGCCAAGCCCGTGCGATCGTCAATCGCGTGCGAATCAACGAAGATCCTCACGATAGGCTTATAAGGTATGACTGTCTTTTATTATTATTATTATTATTATTACTATTGGAACAAGAACAGGTGGGAGCACAATGCGTTCAATCTTTGGCATTACTTGATAACTTTTGAACAGAAGATCAATATCGTCGTTCCTTACGAAAAAAAAGCCGCTTTTTCGATAAACGTGAATTAAAAAAAAAATTATTACGATGATATCAGCATAGCAGTCTTTAAGTTAGCTTGTTAAATCACCAAGAAGGTTAATGATAAATGAAAAATGTTTTGAAAATTTTTAAAAAATTTTTAATTTGCACAGGAAAATCCAACAAAAAAGTACGATTCTTGAAAAATTCGAATCTTACTTTTTTTCGTAAGGGACGACGGTGTGTAATCTTGTGAGAATTTTTCAATCACTGATCCTATTTGATGCCCGTATTTCACGATAATGCTCGAAATAATTGTTATATCAATACAACGGGTGATTGTAATGTGTTATCATTGATAAAATCTACCATACATTTCTTTTTGATCAACATCAGTCTTAAATTTTTTCGTCTCTAATTGATATGTATGAGTTTTTATCATAATTTCTTTTTTTACCCTACAATGGTAAACGATGGACGGTTTGAAGTGGTATGTTTGGCTTATTTGGGTTATTTATTGTTATTCTCGTGTTTCAACGCTCATCAGACAATTGAAGGCGGAAGTTCAGAGGCTTAGGGGTATGCGGGATGTATACGAGAAACAATTGGGCGTGACGCCACGGAAGTTATTGGACGCATATGAAACCCCGGGCAGTACAGCGGAGGAAATTTTGAGCAAACAAAAGGAAATTGACCAACTAAAGGATCAGCTAAAAAAGATGGAGGACCAGCTCTTTGTGTCACAAAAGTAAGCTTACTCTACTTGTTTTTCGTTTTTTTTCTTGCAACGCAATAAGAAGTCTTTTTTTTTTCCTTATAATATTAATCCTACGATAAGGTTCTTGTTTTCCTACACAACAAACAGGTATTATCAGCATTGTGAAGCTAATGTTCATCATCAATGACGTTGAAATTATTTTTTTTTTTTTTTCTTTTATTCTGCGATTAAATTTTTTTAAGAATTTTGATCAATTTTAGTTGTAAGGAGACTGAAATACAAAAATAATTTAAACATAATTACAGCCTTCGCCCAGTGACATACACACGCACACCCACAGTCATATTACTGTACATGTTACCAGTGAACTCACTCTACTATTCAATCAAATTTTTTTCAACTTTGCTTATTCTGTTGCGGTTATCTGTTGTTTATTTCCTGGATACATTGCACAGTGGAAACTCTGTTCCTGCAGGGCGAACGAGAGTATGACGAGATCCGACGACAATCGGCAAAAAACCCTCGTATTTTCCTAAATTAATCCTGCTTAATCCAGACGGACACTGAACGAACTAAAGAGAGAAAAAGAGAGGCTCGTATTTGTTTCCAGGCTGTAATGGCATCCAGCCAACTTGATTATATTCTAGATCTTGGGAGGAAAAACTTCTTGAGGCCCAGGCGAAAAAGGACACGGAGCTTGCGTACCTGCGTCGTTGCGGCGTTGCTGTAGAGTTTGATTTCCGAGGGGCACCAAAGCATCCCTGCCTCGTAAACCTTACAGCTGATCCAATGTTGTCCGGCACGCTCTTGTATCTCATTCCTCCAGGTCACGTACGGGTCGGTAGAGCTCCTAGGTCCAGCACTCCATCCAAGAAGAAAATCGATATTGTTTTGGACGGCCCATTAATTAAACTGCTACATTGGTGGGTGACGAGCAACTTTGGAGTCGGATTGCTCCATGCAATTTGACATAACGTTTTTAACTTTTTTTTTTTTTTTTTTTTTTTTCATTTCGTACAATAGCGTAGTTAAGTGGTCATTCTACGACCGTTGAAGGTAAATATTGGAGTTGCATAAGATGGTCAATTACTTTTGGGTATTGTTTGTAGCAGCGTACATTTGAATTTAATTTGAATTTTTTTATTTTATTTATCGTCAGACACGGTAAAGCTTAGTCAAAAATTTAAATTTACAGCGTTATTATTTTTTGATTCATTGTTAAGAAATTATTCTATAAATTGTTACGTTAATTTGCTAATTTGCGATTACTTTCGATTCAGTTCGGCCCAATTTGGTACCGTCAGTTTTTGAACCACAGCACACGCACACACATAATGCATTCTCGTCAGATTTCAGTTTTCAGACGAAAATGTGTGACTTTTGGCGTTTCAGTTTAATAATTGATTGGATCATCAAATCGAACCGAACATGATTGCAAATAAACCTAACGTTTATTCAATTTATGGTTTTTTTTTCACATCAGCAAATAATCGTCAGCTAATTAAACTCATCAGAATACTTTGTAACCCTCTCTTGACACTTGTTATTTTGTCTTTCGTACAAACAATCGTGGTAATTTATTTTTATCATCTTTTTGGCGTACAATTATAAATCATTTGTCTTTTTATGAACCATATTTTTAAAATTGCACTTGTAAGATTGTTTTAAAAGCTTGATTTAGCTGATTATTTGTGAAAACAATATTTCCGTTTGCATATTGTTGTAAGAAACTTCTGCTTGAAAATAATTCCGTACAATTTTTTATGAAACAATGGTTGCGTTCGATTGAGTGCCGAGCGCTCGTACCATTTGTACCGTACCACAGTTGGCTCGCAAAAAGCGGACTGCAAACCGACTGTGGTACGGTACGAGCGCTCGGCGCTAAATCGAACGCAACCAATGTATCTTCAAAAAAAAAGCCACGATAATATGGTTTGTTTCTTACAAAGTATTTTCATGCTTTGTATCATATAAACAAAAATAGATATCTTACCAAATATTTTTATTCAATCAACAGCACAATCGAAAATGACCATGGGAAATTGATTTTATACCCAGAACCGGATGCAGAAAATTACCTTAATGGAGAGGTATTATTATATTGCTTTGTTACAAAAATGGCTTGGTCGAAAAAAAATGAATTCTTACCTGTTGAAAAATATTTGCTAGATGGTTCGAGGACGAGTGCAGTTAAATCACGGTGATCGACTCTGTATCGGTGGCAATCATTATTTTAAAATTTGTAACTCTCAAGGGGATCAAGATAGCGCACAAATGTCTCTCCAACCAATTGACTTTGAATTTGCGTATCAAGAGATACTACGAATCCAAGAAGAAAAGTAAGATTTTAATGGTTATATTTTTTCATCATCGCAATAAAGCAATATTATTCTAAATTGCATATTTTACAGATTAAGAGTAGAATTAGAAGAATCAAAACAAAAAGCTAAGAAAGAACTTGAGAATGCTAAACGAGAAGTGGAAATGCAATTGGAGCTACAAAAGTCCGCTTACGAATGTGAAATAAAGCAGCTGGGGTCGAATCTCGAGCAGCAAAAATTGGAATTAGAAGAGGCAAATAAAAAGAAAAAAGAACTCGAACGCGAAAAAGAGTTGCTTGCTAGTGAAATAGAAACTAGCAACAAAATAAGGAGGCTTGAGATCGAAGATTCAGGAATAAATATTTCACCATACAAATCAAATTTTATTCAAGAGCTCGAAGGATTGTTAAATGAAACCACTGCTGACGTTGAGACTGCCTTGTCGGTCAAAACGAGTATCGATGCTATGAAGATCGGCGGAGTTAGTCCACATGAAATTCAATTATTAGTTAGAGAAGCCACAGAAACGTGCAGAGATGTTGGTGTTAACTACGTAAGTCCCCCCCCCCCTCCAAGTTTTTTTTCAATTATTGATAATGTTTATACTTTTTATTGCAGGAGTTCCATCAGCAGCAAATCGTTGTTGATAAATCCTTGCAGCCAGTAATCCGCGTCCGTGACAGGGATAACATGCTGGAGACCCTTTGGCAGCCTATGCGTTTTCTCGACTGGATTCGTCAGTTACGAGATCACGAACTCGAACATTCAATCAAAGAATTACAAGATGCTGAAGACAAGTGGGAGCCCTTTGATGACAGCGACATCATGCCAGATTCACTATGTAGTAGTCGAATTTCGATAAATATGACACCAGTTAAGAAGCAATTGAACGAGAGCTTAAGTCAATTTTCGATTGATACGTCTTTTCTTGATTGTTCTGTAGCCGATCGAACTAATGAGTCAGTTTTTTTGAAGCGTCGCGATGATATTCATCAATGTTTTATTCAAATTGAAATTGCTTCCAAAACATTGAAAGGGCTGTGCCATCAATACGAGTCAAGAGAAGTAAGTGGAAAAATCACTCAAGCTTTGGATCAGGTCAACTCTGTAATGCAAGATCTAAAAGATCTTTTTCGAGAAAAATCGCCCCCGGAAAATAGCGTTGCCGAAATCATGGCATCTGATGTTGGCGATCCCGAAAATACAGTAATTGAAAACTCAGTTATCGACAAAAGTTCAACACCTTTTGCGGTTGTCAAAAATTTTTTCGCCAATTGCAATACGACGCCTTCCAAATCTAATTTAAAACCTGCATGTCCTTATTTTAAAAACGATAACAATACGAAATCTGTGAAATTCGATGTCGAGTAATTTTACAATTAGTATTTAACGCCATTTCCGATTTTGTAACTTGTATTTAATTATAATTTATTTTGTAGCATATGTTTTGATAAGTGTTCACCATGCAATGTGTTGGTAAATTATTATTTTACGCGTAAAATTAGTTTGTTTTCATAATAAATCATTAATTAAAATAAGGTTTCCACAGTTTATTACTGTTGTAATTGATATCACATTTTATGTTTATTCTGTATGCATTTTCAAAGATTTTAATTTGTATCATGGATAAGTATTTTCAATATATTTTGTTACTAATTTCCAATAAAAAAAAAAAAAAAAATTTGTATGATGGATGGATAAGCCATTTATTAATCCATGATATATTAATGTTAAAAAATTGTTTCGTCAACTAGTGTCATCGTCACTTGACATTTTACTGTGAAAGAGGCATGTTTTGATAATTTTTTATCAAAATTACCAAGCAAGGGCACAAACATTGAATAAAGATGAGTAAACATAAAAAGAAAATACTTATTACTAAACATTTATTTTATACAAGTCTTATTAACACTCAACCATCCAGCTTCGTTTAGTATTTCCTACTCAATCAAAGTAATCTTCTATGTCTATATCTGGATTTAATAAATCTTCACCATATGGACTTAAGTCTAGTTGGTTCAATATTAGATTTTCACACATTTCTTCTAAATCTGTTTCACCAATAAGAACTGCTCCTTGCATTTTTCCATCAACAAGAATTAATTTCACATACTCGTGTCTTTGGGTTACTCTTAATAAAATGTCATAACTATTTCCAAGTTTCTGACCATTATACAATCCTATTAAAACAACTTTGTAGCCAAAAAACTTTGTAACGTGAGTAAAAAGTTCGAAACAAAAGTCTTGATAAAAGTCTTCTTCTTTTAAAGTTGAAACCATGCTTTTCGCTGCATATCGACCCATTTGATGAGCTTGAGTCCAAAGTCGCATTTGGAACCAGTGTTTTGCAATATCCCATTCTGCCGAGCAAACATCCCCAGCAGCAAAAATGTCCTTTTCCATAGTTTCTAATTTCCAATCAACAGAGTAACCACTATCTTTCCCTTTTTTCAAGTGTTCTAATCCTAATATGTTGCTATTAGGTATGACTCCAGTAGCCGAAATGATAAAGTCGGCCCCCACTTTTTTTCCATTGGTTAATTCAACGTAAATAGGCCAATCATCAGTGCTGTCGGTGCGATTTATGATTTGTAATACTTCACATTCGTATTCAACTTCGACCCTTTTCAAAACATTTTCCTTGATAAGATTTATTTGATTGTGCCAGTGCGGTCCAAGTGAAGGTCCAAATCCGTTTTGAGTTGATTTTTCTGTTTTTACAGTCCATTTTGGTCGGTTTGCTGTTTTCTCTTGGTAATCTAGATCCTTGTTTAATAGTCTTTCTTGAAAGAACTCCGCCGCACCTGGGTCAATAAAAGTTGCTGAAATATGCCGATCTTTTATCACCCAAACAACATCAACACCTTTTATTTCATGGACAAGTTCAGTAGCGATTCCTCCATTGCCGACGATAACAACTTTTTTAGCATTTTTCAACTTTATCGTGAGATTTTCAGCAGACTCAGTATCACGAAGTCCGATTACTCTACTATTATTGTCTTGAATTAGTTTTGGCCGTGCTCCTGTGCAAATGCACAATTTTTTGTATATTATAACTTGTTCTTTTTCTGTAGTGATAGTTTTTTTACTTGTATCAACTTTTTTTACTACGTCATTAATAATAGTGATCGATGGATAAAGATTGGACAAAGTATCTGATGAGCGTTCTTCAACATCGAATTGTGTTAACGTTTTTCCAATTGACATGACATTAGTAACAGCTTTAATTATTGAACTCGCTGTTATTAAAACTACTTTCTCCTCAGGTGCAAGAAATGCAATGCTTTCAGCACAGGACACACCGCAAATGCCTCCTCCAATGACAACAAAAGTAGCTTCCATAATGAGTAGATTATTAATTCAACTTAACCATTTGACTGAATTACTTATTTTCCTTAGAATCAGAAAATGCGACTTCTGAATTGCACCATTCAGAATAATCATACTGTCGGAACGGTACGTCAAAAGATATAGTTCCAAAATCTCTTGCCTTGTGTATAGCTACCAGTAAATTTAAATGTTGTCTTTGGCAAAGACCAGTTTTGCTGTGATATAAAAAAAAATTTTACATTCATGACGCTCTTAAAATTGAAAAAAACGATTGCAATTTCCAAAACTTACTTCCAGTCAATTATTTCGCCATTGTACGGAGAAATGAATTGATACAACAAATCCGTATTTCTATAATCCAATACTAGATACTCATCTCTGCAAATGGGACACGGGTTACTTGTAGCTATAAATCCTTGCCTCTAGAATAGTGAAGTTACACCGAGAGTTAATGGATAAAAAAAAAAGAATGATCAACAAGAATCAATAAATGATGCTCACTACACAAGTTTTTCTAGTCTTAGGTGGAGCAAATTGGCCCTTGTAGTTTCTTCTGTACTTTTTCCATATTGGCTCTAATCCATAAGTTTCTTTGTAAGCTGTAATCAAATGATACAATACCTCTTATGAAATGCGTGTCATGATCAGTCCTCGACCCTAATCACATAATGATAAAAAATAACTTGCCATCACTTTTCATATATTTGATACCGATTTCAACAGGAATTGGTTTAGATCTGTCGCTGTCGGAATGAATGTTTGACTCGGTGCCTTCGATCTCGTTACCTTCCGCTTGTTGCTCCTGTACTTCCTGACGTCGGCAAAAGTTTTGCGAAATACTCCTTACAGATGTAACCTACAACACTGCTCCGTTAGAAAAACATTTTTGAGAAAGGTGATGTATTTACTTTCTTAATTTTACTACGCTACCTTTTGCAGACTTTTCCGACTGGCAGTTCCAAAGATTTGCAAGCCTACACGGATGAATGACATTTTATATTAAAAATAAATCTGGAAATTACGTGCGTGAACAGATACAATACAGATGCAAAAGAAAAATGTTTTATATATAAGGGGCAACAATAAAGATGAGGTTACCTATTACCTATCCTTCCTTATCATCCACACTACACACACACACGCATATCCTATATTCTATAGTGGGTGCGTTCGGTGAGTTCGGCAGTTAACCGCAGTTTAATCTAAAGGTTCGTTAACCGACCGAACCGAACACAGGGGGGTTTGAACGAAACTTAGACTTATAGATTCTTTTTTTTATATTAAAGTGTATTTCACCTAGTTCAGGTATACTTATATACTAGATAATATAGATAACTTAGTAGTAAACTTATGCGAGGAAATAAGTTCAGATTTTTTTTTTAAACACTCAAAATGTCCTGGTTTTTACAAAACTGTACGGCTTCAAGTAGGATTCAGCAAAAAAATTTATTATTCCACACTAAACAGTATGCTACCGTACATGATGACACTTATGGCTAATTACAATTTTTTTTTTATTTTCTACTTTTCTTTTTCTAGGGGTTATAAAAAAAATTTAATAAAAAATGTTTTTTATTAGAGATTGAAGAAAAATACCTATGACTATACGTATCTATTATAAAAATCTGTTCTTTAAAAAATATTAATGGAGCACTATATAGGTAAATATGGTTTTAATATTGTTGTCATTTTATTCCAACCGGGGCCTTTCTATCATTTATTATTACTTATAGATTTCTGTAAGGATTAAAAAAAATAATTTTTTTTTTTAATTTTAGCCCGCGACAATTTGGTTCATCAAATAAATATGCGAAACATTTTTTAAAATATTTTTATTTACAGGGGTATCTCAAGAGTATTTATTACTGTAATTGTGTAATTGTTCTTTATAATGAAAATTTGAAATTACGACCCAGTGATTGCGTCGTGCTGGTGCCGGTGCTTGAAAACAAATAGTCACTTAATTCGATCGAAAAACCGCAAGATGTCAAGAGTAGTCGCCAGAGTACCGGCGTTTCTTTCTGATTCGCAATCGCAAATCGCAAGTTGCATATACTTATATCATACATGTGTATATATAGTCGGTCGCGCGCGGAGAGAGTCGGGCATATCTTACTCTCTGAGTCAGTCGGAGTCTGTCTCGGGCGGGGCATAGGTACTGAGCCGAATAGAGTTAGTAATACGCCACTCACACACCTAAAGTATTTAGATAACGATACACAGAGAGAGCATGAAACTATGCAATAGTGGGTGGTGCGTGCGAGAGAGACAAATAGGCAATCACAAAACGTAAAATTTTCCTCACTAGGTATAGCCAAGCGCAGTAGTGTAGTTTGTGTAGTGCAAAATAGGGTCTACCTCACCATATATATACATATATACGTATATACGTATATACGCTATATCAGTATACACGTTGCAAGTTGCAAGTTACAAGTGAGTGAGTAAGCGAGAAAGGTGAACCGCAGGCTGTTTACCGTCGTCGTCATCGTCGTGGTTCATCTGCTACCAATTATACCTACTGTTTTGCTTGGTTAACAAATGTCAAAAAGGAGACTCGCGGCTAAGTACGGTTTGTCCGTTTTGTGATGGTTGAATTTCATTAAAAAAAAAGAATCCGTAACATAACGTACGATTTTGTTATTTTTTGTTGTGTGTCTGTGCTGTACAAGTACGTTCGTTGTGAAGTGCTGTGCTGTGCTGCGTGAGTAACTGAGCAGTGAGCTCAAGAGTAATCAAGATATATATGTATATACATGTAGGTGTGCAAGAAGGTGTATAGAGTGATATAGGACATAGGTACAAGTTGTACGTATATGTACACGGCTACGTGCGTGTTAAGTGTGTGTGCGAGCCAGTGAGCTGGTCATCTGAGATTTGAGCTGAGCTCGTGAGCCGGCCTGGATATGTATTGTTTTTTATCCTTGCTCTTATTTTAATCTCAATACTTTTCCGCTGTGGTGTATGGTGTTATACTTAAATACGTCGAGTTTTGTGTGTCGCGTCGTGCGTGTTTTTTGTACTCCTATACTCAACCTATCTACCTACCTATTCGCTTTCATATTGTTCGCCACACTAGCTGTCTCGGACGCTGTTCCGAACAACGCTCATTAATTTGCCTTTTTCGTCGCAAGTAAACCTATTCACGATCCAAAAGTTATGTTAAAGGGGTGGCTTATTGTCTGCTAAGCAACGATCCAACACTAAAAGAATACAACCAGGGCGTCCAGATTATACCTACTCAACAAAAGCAAACGAGCTACACATTCAACTTATTCAAGGAAAAATACACAAGAGAAGCATTGGTACAGTGGTGGCAGTAGACTATAGTTAGTACAGCAGCCGCAAGTGTCAGTGGACACTTGAGCAGCCGCAGCAGCCCTGGCTACATGTGAAAGTGTCGTTGCGCGAAGCAGCAGCTCCGCTGCCGAGGAGGCCGCCAAGACGACTTACGACATTCCAAGCAGCACCGACTTCGGTCGGCCCCAAGCATCAGACATGAGCTGGGGAACCGAACTTTGGGTCAGTCCAGTTTAATTACACATCTGTACAATGTTAATTATTACAAATGTATACATATGTCTGTTACTCCGTTTTGAACCTGACACCTTTTTTTTTCCGTTTATTTTCCATTTTTTTTTTTATTTCCTTCATGTAAGATAGAAATAATCGGGGAAAGAGCGCTGTTGCTCGTTCATCCGATCCACATATGTTGACACAATGATTCACGTTCTATATGTATTACCACTCACAGCCCTGATTTCCGGGCGCCTTACTTACCTTAACGTATAAGAATTATAATTTTTAATTGATTACAAAAAGGTTGATGAATATTTTCCATAATTCTTAGTTAAAAATACGAGTTATCTGTACAACGCGTATATATATATATATCTACGTAAAACGCCCTGCTCAGATCGTGTCAAGTGTGTATATGTAAGTATAGTTACGGACGGTCCCGCTGTTATATACTTAGTCTCTCGGTCTTTTTCCCGCAACGTCTTGGGGCGGAGGGCGGAGGCGATCTGCGGCAGCAGCGAAACTAGCGAGTAGCATTAACAACATTGCAGCGGGTGAAAATTGTATACTTATCATTTCATTGACTTCTTAATTATGGATTATCTTTATATTGGAAACTTACCGGCCCGCGCCGGTACCCTGCTGTCCATTATTAACGCGAAAGTTACGAGCTCGTGATGTACATCACGCAAAGTTGCGTCGAGTATACGCAAAAACGCGGTAGTTTTTTTTTCGAGCGAAGCGCTGTGGCACACTATAACATATATTATACCTACAGGTGTACGGTACACCGTGTACCTATGAGAGAGGAATTTGGTCATTCTTGCTCAACCCTGACTATATTATCCCTACCAGTTGTACGGTTGCCCGTTTCGCGTGTGTCTTATACCTATACTTAACCACGTTTCTACAGGTATTTATTGATTATACGTATACCTGTAGGACTCCTTTCTTTGCTGCGTTGCTACCCCCTCGTCTCGTCTGCAGTTCTTCCTCTTCTATACTTACTTTTATACCCATACAGGTTGAAGCTGTAATTCTTGCATTTCGGTGTGCTTGGTAACATGCAGTCCCGACCTTTACTCGAGACACGAAATGCGCAATACACATTATTTAAGAATAAGTACGAGGTTTCCTTGGTGCATTTCTCTCAATCTATTTTTATGGGCCCAAAAGGTTTCAATATTGCCAATATCGTGACCCATGCAAGTTACTCGCGGCTGCACCTAACTTAGCTCGCCTCTCAGCATGGTCCATGATATAAGTAATTGGCCATCGAATGGATCAAGGCTTTCAGAGCGTTCAAAAAACTAAAAAAATACGGGCGCTCACCTTTGGGTGTAGGTTTTTTTATCGGCTGAACAGATTTTAGGCGATTTATATGATCATCTTGGTGTCACTGATGTGAAGGATCCTTTTAAATCATTACCACTGAGGATTGTATAAGTAATGACCTACATTGTTTCTAATTCGCTTGATCGTAGTTGGCAGCAAGTCGAGAGTGCCTGCAATTTTTAGCATTCGGGACGCTTAGGCACCCGCTTTTTGGAACACGGTGATTCTCTCACGTGCGTGGGTGCGCTTCGTAAAGTCGGGCCAGTGTTGTACCTATACGATGGCAACACTGGCATTTTCTGGGACGTCTGTCAGGATACAATAGGCATAGTCACAAAACCATCAATTCACGTACGGGACGGTCTATAATTATCCTTACCGTGTCCCGCAACCCAAAAAACCATCAAACACCTGCTGATCAAATTAAGTAAAGTTATGTCTGTTTTCCGGTAATCAATAGGCCGTTCTCTACATCAATTGACGATTTTGCGACTGCCCCGTGTGTTCTAACGGATACTTCCGTAGATGGTGTTTTCGCTGTACAACTGGCTTTATCGTAACACGTTTACTCCATATTACCAACCGCGATTCGATGGTTTAGAAGTCACGTAAAATGTTGATCATAGTTGCATTGCCAATGATTACATTCGTGTTCAATGTCTAAGTAGAACCTATCAGCGCCCATACCTTGGAGGAGCTCGGTTTTTCAAAGAAAGATCTTTAAGCTTCGAGTCAATAATCAATCATTGTAAAGATTTGTTGTAGAAAATCTTTAGTTCAATGATCATGAAGTAATTCAAAAAACGGGTGAAATTTACAAACCACAGATTTTCTCGAGATATTTATGATGGTTTCAATAATTTTGTTTTCGTCTTAAAAATATTATATTACGATTACTTTGTCACATGTTTTGATTGGTAAAGCTGAAAAAACTGTTTTAATCGGAGTAAAAAATTTTTTTTAGACCATGGCATATGTTTAAAAGCCTCTTTTTTCCAATCATTTAAGAGAGTACCTATGGCAAGTGATATCTTTACTTTTAAAATCGAAATTTTCGGCTCAAACAATGATAATTCGTGTGTATAGGATGCACGCAGTAACGCTGCTTGTTTCATCAAACCACAGTGAAAACTCGCTTGTACTTTTTTTTAATGCTCTGAAAAAAATTTTTGCACCAAGGTCAGTATACTTAGTTAAAAATTGATCATGAAATAAAAAAATTTTTTAAATGTTCCTAAATGACAACCTACTTAATCTCAATAAGCATCAGATGCTTCGGATAAAGTGCCAAATATAAACTTCCGAGTATGTTACAATGACCTTTTTACGACGCTCGTCACGAGCAGAGTTAATTTGTGCTTAAATCGCATTTCTGAAACATATACACGTGTATCAGTAACATACGTCAAGTACGTATCTATAATGAACGCGGATGGACTGCATGTGCATTGCATTGCGTGACTATGTAGTAAATGTGTGCTCGTGAATGTTGATTTGTACCTACAGCCACGTTAAAATTTTAGACACGTACTACCACGGTGTATCAGAAGCCAGTATAAATAATTTATTTTCACATACCAGGGCCTCAGTTATTTTTATTTCACATTTTACACACTGAGGGAAAATTTTATCAAGAACAGCATAAATAATAATAATAATAATAATAATAATAATAATATATAGCGTGTCTATAATATATAATGACGAAAATTATCGTTTGTTTTATAATTAATGAAGTTATGACTGAATAAGGAACAAAACAGCAATGCAATAAAAGGCTCACGTCTGTGTACACAAACTACGCCCTTAACCTCAATCCCCTCAATGCAAATGATAAAGGAAACCGCTAAAGTTTGCTATTATTTACACACTCATCATGCGATGAATTGTAAAACAATAATTAGTTTTATTCAAGTAATCACCATATGCTGACTATTGCTTTTTAGATAACTAAAACACTTTTCAATAGTTTTTCAAGTGCTACTGCTCAATAAAAAGTGGCAGCTAAAGGAAATCATAACTATTCATTTTTTTGCACGCTTGAAATGCATTAACTACGGAACCAACGATTGAGGAAACTATAATTTTCTAACGTGCTCATAGTATTAATTTGAACATATTTATATGAGACGTTTTTTTTTTTTTTTTTTTTTTTTTTTCACCAACTTATTAACAAATTTTTTCATAACAAGCAATACGTGAATAAAATTCTGAGAAATTTAAAGGAACACCTACAAGTATTAATCCATTAGTTGAAAACAGATACAATAGATGGTTACAGACAGAGAAACGGAAGTAAAAATTTTAACGTATGGGCTCAAAACATATAATTGTGTGAGTGTATGTATGTTTATTTCTTGTTTATTGACATTCGTACTTAGCTCTTTATTTAACGCTTTTATTTAATTTAAACTGTCCATCTGTGTCCACTGGTCCCCTCTGTTTTTAAACTATCTGTATGTCGGAACGGACAGAGGAAGTGTTGTAACCGATATATTTTTATTTACTTCTAGATTCATTGAAAATCTCTCTTCCGTCAGAACCATTTAAAACAAATCACTAAGCTGCCTGTAGTGTCACCGCTTGCTCTTTAGTTTTTATTAGCTCTCATATAGGTACATAAATTATAAATCACAGATTTTTAATGTAGATCAGGCTAGGTCGCCTCAATTTCTCTGCCCGTCTTACCTTACTCGTCTGTCTCTATGATATGCTCACTTAATTTAGTTGAGAATTGTTGCACGTCAAATACACTGTAGACTTTTAAGTTAAATGGTAAATCAAAATCAAAGGTTATAAAAAAAAAAAATTTATACTTATTTATTGTAAAATAAAAAGTAGAACATGAATCATGAAAGCGGGGCTATCCACATCAGTGTGGGTTTTTTTCTTAAAGAAATAGTTCGATGACTCCTGTTTTTATGTCATGCGTACGCTGGAAAATGATTTTACGCTTTAGTTCGCAAATAAAATGTCGTGTTTTTATCCATTTTACATAAATACAACGCATATGAATTTTGATGCTATTAGATTGTAGTATTTTTCCCATGCAATAAATACGGATAAACGTTTAAAATTTTTCCCGCCACCCGTGAGGATAAATAATACCCTCTTTCGAGTAAAATTTGAGCTGGTACAAAAAGAGTAAGACATTTAAAAAATTAACAATATATTTGTATACCAACACGAGGTGAGTCGAAGAGCAAAGTAGTGAGCAGGGGGAGGCTCATTATTGTATACTATTGCTTTTGCGTCCGAGTGTGTGTGCGTACGTATGTGTATATGTGTAATAATAATTGTATGAATGTTGGATCGTGAATTGAAATTAAAGGAAAAAACTGTCAAATTTAAAATGTGTTTTCATTCGGTCACGACCTTGTTACTTTATTCGCGTACGACCGAATAAAAGTGGGAGAGAACAAGGATGAAGGCGACGGAGGGTAGACGACGCGGCATCATCATTCATTCGTTGGTTCGCTCTCACGAATTCATAATGAACGTATAATGTACTCATGCCAGGGAGAACTGCCTGCACGACAACGCATACCTATTTAACGGGAACTTCTGCCTGTTTGATCCACTGACCCCTCAGTAACGTACGGCAATGTCAAAAAATTCGAGCCAAGCGGTCGGAATAAACAATTGTTTTTTTCGCAACCAACTAATGGAAAAAATATTGCGGAATTCTGGTTACTCTTTTGGAAAATAAGGGTTCTTTTTTACTTTCTCTCCCCGCTTTCGAAGACGAGACACGTGTAAAATTAATTCCATGTACGTACTACTTTGGTTGTATTTTTTCTTTGCAGCAATACAATTATTTTTAATCAATAATTTTACTCGATGAATGAAAAAAATTCCAAACAAACAAGGACATACTGATGTAAGCTGTTTGAGCTATTTTATTTCCTAAGGATTAGCATGTATATTTTGTGATGTAAACGAACGACATGCAAATCATAAATGATGGTGGCTTTGTTATTACTAAGCTTTAAAAATTTAAAACTAATCAAGTGAATTTTTTTACTCATGTAAACACTTTTTTTTTTTTTTTTTTTTTAAATTACCAAAAATTTAATGTACTTTTTTTTATGTATAAAGGTAAATACAATGAAAACGTTCTTTTCTCATAATTTTATTCTTTTTTTACCGATTTCAAAATTGTGGCGGAATCAGTCATGTACACTTGTAATCTCTTGAGAAAGAGGTGTTGAGGTATATATAGGAGGAACATATATCTGATTTCAGGCTGTAACTTTTTTATTCGGCCGCGTCGAGTGAGTTTTTCTTTCCCCGTCACTGCCACACGTATAGGCAATGCTACTACTACACTCACGTACTTACCCATGAACCAGCTCGCTTTCGCCAATTGTTATGAATGAAATAGCGCTGAGCCTCTCTTTTCGTCCTTCTCCTTCATTATTATTATTATCATCATCATCAAGATTATAATTATTATTGCTCGTTGTAATCTTATATTGTAATTTACAATGTAAGTACAATATGTAGTGTGTTACACACAAAGCTTAGAATAAAGAGCTGTGTAATATAGATTGTCGAGTGCAGTGCTAATTGTATGGATTGTCGGAAAGCTTGAAACGTAAGACGTGACCACTTGCTGTGTAAGTAGACGCTCTTCCAAATTAACGACGAAATTTTATCGAAAAGTAAATAACAAATGAACGCAGAAGTTTTTTTTATTTTTTTTTATTGCTATTCGATCGTAATACATTATTTTTTTCTACACTCGGTGTCACGTACCATATGCATGACGCATTCGACGTGATCATCTCACCACTATACAGAACTACCGCGCGATAAGCGAAGGGTATAAAAAAGAAGGGGGGAGGGCAGACGGTCAGTCAGTGAGTCAGTTAGACAGGGGACTCTCTTAGTCGAGCAGCCAAGCACGCACTGGGGCTCTCCCTCGACTTTTGGATAACAAAGCAAGAGTCGATTTTTTTTTTTTTTTTAACGCCGGAAACCACAGTGCTCCATGTAAAATTGGAGAAAAAATGTCACCAATGCTCTCGAGCTCGTCTTCAAGATATTTGTATAGTGTACGAGATGGAATAGCAAAATTCCACTTCGTTGCTCTAAAAAAAGCATTACATTAATATCATCGGCAATTCACTCCGCAACACGTACAAAAACTTGATGGAGTCGCGCGAGTAGCTCGCGTCTTCGTTTATCAGACTCCGCATCCTTCGTAGTCCGATACGGGGCCCCCGCTATAGCAACACTTCACAGATACGTACACCAACTTCCTGCGCCGTATTTTTGTATACTTTTCAATAAGTATAAACATGCTCTTTCACGGTTAAAAACAATTTTTAACTAAATTTTGTTCAATACTAAAGGTAGTGTCCAAAGGGTCGCGTTGTATTTTTACGGATGAAGAAGAGCATTTGGATAAATCTCATGAAATACGCGGCGTTAGCATGTCAAGCGAATTGCGCCCAATATAATATTTATATCGTCGATCGTCGACATACGAGTTGAAAAATGTTTTTGAAGAATCGCTTCTAAATTTTGCTGCCATCCGAAGCTAAAGACTATATCGGGGGGGTTATGTATATCTCTGCTGCGAGAAATCATGACCACACGGCCGATCAAATAAATATATAAATACAAGTAATCCTTAAGCAAGACAATACGCATCCGCATTCTTAGTACTTCCGGTTGAGATAAAATACGGCGGACATTATCTGCTAATTCAAACCATAAGACGTGAACGGTCACTCCTCCCTTAAGGATCACCATGAAAAATAAGGATTTAGTACCGTCTACTGAGTTTATAATATAAGCACCTGCATGCAAGTACCTGTATAATTTTGGCAAGTCCCAACCGTCTTTCCCTATACCTAGGTTGCCGTCCTTGCGTACCGTGTACTGACGTACCAGTAGACGCGAGTAGACGCACAAAACTACGACAGCAGAGTGAAAAATCAGTTTCTCAAATCGGGTGTACGAACATAAAAACATGCTCGCACGCGTGCACGTAAACTTTTCCTGTTATGGCAGTCGAGTCTCCGATGGCATGGCGCTCTGCCAAGCGTGAAAGATTTCGAAGCACTGTGTGTGTATTGTACAGTACACATGGATGGTACTCGTTTGTTCCCAACACGTTCCTACATTTGTTCCTTTCCCATTATTTCCTCTTATTATTACTCCTTTCCTCTCATTTCAATCATATTCATGTATGTATACGTACGCGCGCGCGCCGTGAAAGTTACCACAGGAATCCTTTTATGGACTGCCCCGTCGCTAAACAAATTTTTTTCAATATTTGTATCTATACTGCGTATTTTTGTGCAACCTTCTCTCTCTACGATGCAGTTGCTATTTTTCGACCTCATTGTCGGGGCCGGAGTGGAAACCGCATATAGGCATGCTAAAAATTTTTTTTGCGTGTTTGCGTTTTGTTAAACGTGAGAAAATCACAATCAACGAAATCGTATTGGTTTACAGATTTACCAAGAATAAGCGTTGATGTACTTAATCGAGGTGTAATCAAGGTTGTACGTGAAATTGAATAAGAAAAATGGAAAAATCGAAAAATACCGTAAAAATCACTCGAATCCATGCATAACGTAAATAAAATACAAAAAAAAGTGTTTGATTTTACGTGTCGTTGCAGACAGGAAGCGTTTGCTTTGATCCGCGCAGTGAACATAAAGTGACTGATTTTTAGACGCACGCATGTTAACAAATTATCCAAAGTAGAAATTTGGCAATGTCCGCAGCTGCACGATAAAAAAAAACGTATCAATCTGGAGAGAGAAGATTATGCAAGTCACTAATTGTGCCGAGTACAGTAAACGGATGGTATACAACTTGGATGTATGCCCCCCGATGCGCAGCTGATTTCACTTTTTTCAAGATTATGCGGAGCAAAGTGAAAGGGAGGGGGAGAGACACACATTATTTAACTTGATCGTTTATTGTAAATGATCTTCCCTTGGATAATATATTTTGTATGTTTTATAATATCTGCGGTGTCGTGCTACTAGATGTGCCCGAACACAAATTTTTTGCTGACGTAAGAAATCGATTTCCCAACGAGTATGCACAATATATATATATACACACAATACATAATATATATTACCCCAAGATAAAGTGTATATCGTACATAGACCTACTTTTTCAACAGCACCATTTTTCTTTGTAGGTTTTATCTTTCCTCGTCAGTAGCCCCCTCATATGCATTTTTTACTCAGCGTCTTTCATAAAATAACGTCGCAATGAAGTTTAAAAAAATGATAGCGCTGCAAGTGGTCTCTTTGTTAATTACCGCCTCGACTATACCACTACAGGTTCAGGTTCAGGGAGCCCCGGTATTTCAAGGATGTCGGAGCTGTTGCCCATTCACGTGCTCTGCACTTGATCGCCCTGACTGTTATCTCTTTTGCATAGAGCCTGTATAGATGATGCCTATTTTTACGCTCAACACACGCACATGTACCCCTCGCGCTCATACGATGCCTTACTGGGGCCGGTTCCTGAATATTATACGTGTCAAAAGTTGATGATATACAGGTTGTTTGGACCAATCCGGGATTTAGGAAGCGGCGCCCACGACTTCACTGAATCGCAAAGCTTTTTTCAACTACTGTTGGGAAATAATATGACAATCGAAGATCTAAAATTACCAGAAGTGGAAACTGCTTCCTGCGTCTCATCAAAATGTGCGTTTGTTAATGGCAGCGTTTGCGGAATGGCTGACATTAAGCAGCTGAAGCTAAAATAAAGATGCTCACACTCTCTATATATATGGTACAATTCATCAATTAGTGTACCTATACATAGCCAATATTAAGAAGCTGCACGCGTGACTCATTGTTTACTATATTATTCAAACAACAATTTTTTTCAAGTAGCGGTATTACTCACGTCTCTTTTTCTCTTCATCTTTGTGTGTAAGTGTTGATGATGATGCTTGTGCGCGCGTATAATCATGCACCTATACGTAACCAATCGGGAAACTTCATTTGAAAAGTTACGTAATACAATTAATATATACGCACCAATGTGTTGAACAACTTTATATTTTTAAGAAGTATACTTTTCATATCAGTCTAGGTTATATTATTTTATTCGATGCGAAATATACACCTTCTCCCATGCCGTTGCACTCATCTTGCGCTACGAAAGGTCAAACGGCTTACTATTACACAAAATTTCAAAATTTACGTTTTCTTGGACTTTAAAAGCACTTTCACATGTATATTTTTAAGTAGAGACTTGTGAAAAAAAAAAAAAGTGTAAATCTCTCGTTTATACTCATATCAGCGTTTTGGCTTCTTCTGTTACAGGACCAGTTTGAAAATTTATCCCTTCATACGCAAAAAGGGATCGATTTTTTGGAGAGATATGGACACTTTATTCGTGACCGCTGCACGATCGAAGAGGAGTACGCAACGAAATTACGGTAAGAAACGTCTATATAAATATGTACGCAAACTGTAAAGTGTAGTGTGAGCAGACATAAATATAGAACAACAGCTCATGTCGCGTCTACCATTTGTGTTAAAACACTGTTATGATTGAATCCGCTGATAAAAATATTATGAAAATCATGTCACCGTGAATTAGTCAATAGTCACTGGAAATACATGAATATAGTGAAATAAAAAATTGTGCCAGGTACCTTCTTAATTTGATAAAAATAAGGGGTTTGTCCCAAAGTAGAGTTAAGCGTTTGATGGAGCTCCATTGGAAAAACCAGTGGGAATTAAAATTAGAATCCAACTCAAAATTGATATGGACAAATAAGTCTGATAGCTTATAGTCTCGTTACTTCCTTCCTTGAAGCTTACTTTTTTCCAATTTTCAAAACATGGCATACAACACAAGGATTATAAGCGCGTAGTTATTCCACATCACTCGTTGATTCATCATCGTCTCAAACAAGTCATGGCTCTTTATGTACGTACAAAAATAATACTTGACGCACCGAGAAACGAAAGCCATCATGTGAGCCGTTTGTAATAAGACTGTGCAAAGAGAGAGCCTGACGTATAAAAAATGTGCCTTCTCTCTTACGAGCGAGTTGGAAGGAAGTAAGCATGCCAACGCGAAATGCCGTATATAGCTAATTAACTGACACATTCTACAGGATTTTACGCAGGTCTCTGTTCGTCATTTGTGTCGAAACACACGCATGTAAATACGAGCCCGATATCATTGTCTACCCGCTACCTTTTACCTCTACACGTGTACATGATCGGCAGCAACTTTTCCTTCCAATTGCAACTTCTAGTCCTTCCTCTCCCCTCCCCCCCCGCATTCTTTTGTTCATGCAAATTCGTGTAATTTTCATCGTTACATTTCGTTTCTCCATTTTTTTTATTTCTGGGATCTTCTCAAACTATATGATCATTCATTTTTTCTGTTTCCCTTCAAAGTTGTGAATATTGTGAATCTTTACTCCACTTTAATTACTCATCAATAGCTTTATCCAAATGATTCTAAACATTGTACCTCTACATTATCAATTATTTTTTTGTATTCAAGTTTCAATTTTATAAATAATTTTTGTACATCCAGAAAAAATTTTATGCTCCAGTTAACCAAAGTAAGATATAAAATTTGCTACTCACATCATAACACACAGGTAGAAACATTTTCTGATTTTTTGTGTCACTTTTGAAATTTGATTTACATGGATACTTGAAAACGACCGACAGAATAAAATTTTATTTTATGACAAATACGTACGTACAAAATACTTGAGACGCAAATCGTTAAAAACAACGTGAAAAAAATTAATATGAGTAAAAAAAGTTGATGATAAAAAATTTAAACTAAAAAAAAATAAGTAATGACTTTAGTTATCCCAAGCTTGGCCATTTCGAAAATCATTTAATTGTAAATTTTTCTACAAAAAAAAAAAAAAAAAAAAAAACAGTGCTTTACCACTCTGGAGAAAATTGTCAAAAACTACGTGTCCTGTCTAATTTTTAGATTCATATTCTGTTTTAATTGAGTACTTGAGTACCAGCAAATCCAACTTTAACTCTATTCGTATATATTACTTTCTTTTTACCTGATAAAAGTGGTATACGTGTATATGTGCACGCCACATAATGTACATTACAGCTTGAATGGATTATTACAACACGATGTCATGAGATTTCAATTTTTTTTTTTCAGGAATTTGGTTAAGCGCTATCAGCCAAAAAAGAAGGAGGAGGAAGACAACCAGTGAGTATTTCAATACTAATAAAGCTATCACCCTCTATACCTACGTATTTTCCAAGAGCAAACCAGACCATTGACTTAGAAAACGCGATTAGTCGAAACTGTAACACAAGCACTTGCGTCTATGTCCATTTTTTACGTGTGTATTTTAGTATACATTTCGATCCGCTAAATGGTTTTCGTATATATATAAGTAAAGAAGAGCTCAAGGCCCCTTGCAATTGTAACCTACTTCGGCATGTCTCTTTAATCAGATTACTCTCAGCCCTCATGGTACAGATTGTACCTACACACCCAATCGATATCTCTCCCTATAGCTTTATGTTTCCTATCCTCTTGCTTAGTATTTCATTTTACCGCGTATACGTAAGTATAAACAATGATCCTATACTGTTTCTCTATTTTTTTACATCGTAGATAAATATTGTACTCGACAGGTATATTATTATTTTTCGCTCATTTTTCAATGCAGATGAGTTTGCTTCATCGTCTTTAAGGTTTTGAAAATTAACCTCGCGTAAAACAGCAAACTTTAGTTTAGGCAATTTTAATAGTTTTTTTAGTCCTTGTCCAGTTATTTTTAAAATATGCTTTTGGATGTGTGTGCACCGGTTTGTTGGTTTCTGTGCTCGCAGGGTTGAAAATTTCTAGCAATAGTTTTTACCTTTTTCCTGAATTGTTGTAACTTTTAATAATTATAAAAAAAGAACATCACTGTTGGCTGATTTTTGTCAGAGGGCAACAATGAAAACCTCACACGCAGGTTCATGTCTGATCCTATCACTTTTTATAACCATCTCCGTATAGTTACTAGCTCATGAAAAACAAAAAATAATAATTTTTCAACGTGTGCACAGGGCATTTTGTTTAGAATTTCATTGAAAAATCGTAGGAGTTTTCGACTTAGCTAATCATAAGAAATTTCATCCCTACAAATTAAATTTTTGGATATGCATAGGTAGTAGGAAGCCAGGGTCAATGTAAATCTTGATATTATTGATGCAGATTTCGCGGATCCCCTACAGAACTGAAGGGTAACTGTACAAAAGATCGTCCCCCTCTTGGGGCTCACAATATTAGAATTGTATAGGTATCTGCATACCATTTTTAGTCGCGAACAACAAAAATACTCGAGTCTGTTGTTGCTTGGCTCGTAAAATTATTTATTCGAAGCGTCATTGGGCGTCGTCGATAAAAGATAAGCCGAGATAACCATGGCTTTTTTTTTTCGTGATACGTCAGGTACAGCCCGTGCCGAGCTTTCAAAAAGGAGTTGAACGAAGTGAACGACCAGGCGGGCCAGCGCGAGATCATTTCAGAGAACCTCCAGGCGAATGTGCTGCGCGAGCTCAACTTGCTCATCAAAGAGTTCAAGGAGGACCGCAAAAAGTACCTGCAGGAGGGCGTCCGGCTGCGCACGAGTCTCGCCACCCAGATCGGCAACCTCGAGCGCGCCAGGAAAGCTTACGAAAAGGCCTTCCGCGAGGCGGAGCGCGCCTCGGAAAATTACCAGAAGGCCGACGCTGACTACGACCTCTCGCGGGCGGAGGTTTGTCCCCAAACATTTTTTTACTTGGTTTCATTATCTTTTCATCATAACCAATTCGACACATTTTTTTTTTTTTTTTTTTTTTTTTTTTTTTTTTTCGCTTATACGTAAATTAATACACATGCATATTGTACTTAATCAAAGCATCTCGACTAATGACGAAACTATTTAACGTCTCCTCTAGTCGTCGTAGCTGCCAGAGAAATACTCGTAAAAATTCACTACGAAACTGCACAAATTACAAAATGATAAAACTATTGCGTGTCGTGCCATAGGCGCAAAAAGTGTGACTTCAGTGCCGGAACGGCGCTGTTGATGGTACTATGTTGTGCCCGAGTTGCGAACGATGTTTTTCTTGACATGGGCTCACTTTGTGTCTTAGGGTGGGAAATTGCTTTGGGACAAGTATCCAATTTTTCTACCCTGGTAACCAATTTACTACGAAATGGGGGACAAAATCCATCAAGTTACTTTTATACAGTATAACAACACACCCTTTGTTATAAAGTGTAAAAATGTATGAAAACAAACTCGTTTGTTATTTATTTATTAACTTTTATGTATTTATAATTACTGTTAACCACAATCAATCGCATACCGTGACCAGTGGTGCTACAACCTCTATAAATATATGAACATTATCTCGTGAGTCATGTGCCAGAAATACACACATTTTAATAATACACCTATAACGGTATATACGTAACAAGCGCTTCGATGTTACTTTAAATTGTTATTAAACAATGCATTTAACTTAAATGTACGCTTTTTTAAAGTCACGGTAATATAAAAATTTGCGCTCACACTATGTCGATGCAATTAGTCCGTTCAATCGCGTGGCGGTCCATACTTACACCGAACTGCTTGAATAAAGCCCCGGATGATACATGTGCCTTTGTCGCCCAATAGGTTGAAAAACAAAGAATGAACATGACTATAAAGACGCAACAGAGCGAGGAGGCCAAGACGGAGTACGCAAAACAGCTGCAGACAACCAACGAAATGCAAGTCCTCCATTACCATACGGCCATGCCAGAAGTGTTCCAACACCTGCAGGTTAGCTTAGCAATGTAATATTAGTCGAATCTGCCATTTTCTAAGCAGAGAAAAATAATTTTTTGCTCGGTTTGTAAGTACCTACTTGTACACGTCAAAAATAATCAGATCACGGTTGGAGTCGAGCCCCCAATAAAGTTTAATCGAATGAAATATAAAAATTCACAGTATTTACAAACACGAGTGAAAAACTTGAGTCACTTATTATTATTATTGTTATTAATGAAATAATATTGGGTACACGCGTGTACCCATATACAATATACAATTATTCACTTTTTGCGTCAGGAGCTGGACGAAAAGCGAATAAAAAATACGAGGAACTACATGCTCAAGTCGGTGGAGATAGAGCGATCGGTTGCACCGATCATAGCCCAGTGCCTCGAGGGCATCGAGAAGGCCGCGAACGAGATCAACGAGAAGGAGGACACGCTCCTGGTGATCGAGCGGTACAAGAGCGGCTTCACGCCTCCCGGTGATTTTCCCTTCGAGGACCTTTCCGCGGCCAAGATGCAGATCGACGGCGGCAACAGCCGGCAGGCCCAGCCTACCATGCAGCCCATACACAATCACCTTACGGTCAAGGGCACCGTCTCTGGTGGCAAAATGAAAAAGCGCGTCGGCATTTTTGGTATTTTCAGCAGCAACAAGGTACGCGCACTTTACCTGGAAAAGTACCCATCTTCATTTTTCAAACCAATAGGTGCTCTCTCTCTCTTTACCTTTCGCACTCATTCAAAGACAATTTTTATTTTGCGGAAATTTTTTCATTCGTGTATACTAATAATCCATGGAATGCAAGTAAATTTTACATCAAAAGTTTCCTTCCGTTGGTTGCAAACATTTACTCTTGAAAAGTAGTACTTTTTGCATGTGTCGATCTTTTTTTTTTTTTATTTTTTTCTGCCGGCAATATTAGTTCCATTCAAATTGTGTCGTCCTCATTGTATATACGAAAATGAGTATACTACCGCTATTAGTCATAGTTTTATGAGTAATATTACGCAGTATGAAAAAAATCTGTTTGGCGTATTAGTCTGCTGCATGCTAGTTGCACGTTTTTTTTTAATTTACGATTTTTTCTGATAAATCAAACTATTCTTCAATATTATAAAGCATGTATTTGTGGTACCTATCCAAAAATTAATTTAATTAATCACTTTTTCGATTTTTCATTTTATTTTTAACAGTAATAATATGTGCGAACATGTTAGTCGTATGAAGCGAAAATTTTAACTATGCCCCTTTTGCGTATACGATTTTTCATCTCTTTTCGATCAAACATTGTCATTGTCCGAAATTTGATGATTATTTTTTTGTACAAAAAGTACTGAAAAAAGACGGTTTCCCGCAATAGTAGTCCGTCACACGCGTAGCCGGGGTTGCCGGGAACGATTAATCGAGTGTGACGTCATTACACAAGTGTTAAAATTGTCTCGCACACGATTCACCCCTTTACGAATTGCATACAATTTACACGTACACCCGATGGTGGAATATGATCTTAACGTCCCCTGCAATAAGCATGACTGTTTCTAGATTTTTCCTGATAATGATTATTTTAGGTTTTTTCACTTTTTATATACGCAAAAAGGTCACAAGTGACATTTTCGTAAAATAATTATAAAATACTTTTAACAAAGCTTTTTTGCTGCAAACAACTATAACAGTTTTTAATTCGCTATTTTTTATTTATTTTAACATTCCAGTTTTTATACTTTCAATTATGAAAAAATTCGTGTTTAGAAAAGTTTGAAGTTATAAGAATACTTTAAAAAAGCCTGGCAGGGTTGAAGACATGAAGAATGGTACGCACAGAATCCGAACTGTCAACTTATGTAAAATTGAAGTGCAATCAGCCAAATCCCCATGTACATATATTTTGTACTACGATTTCTATAAAATTTTCGGTAATATCTTCCGGTGTTTGCGTAATAGTTATACACGTATCATTGACAATTGACATCATTTATCCAGTTGAATGTATTGCGACTCTTAATAATACAACTATTTGTAATAAATTTTACTGAATTGGATTTTACTCGGTCTCTGTCTATGGTCTTTCTTGCTTACAATCAACTACACCATGTGATATTGGATTTTCACGATCCAACCTCTCGTAAGTATTTAGTAAAGTGCCTGATGTGTGTGTTTATTGTCGAGTGGTTCTTTTAATGTATTGTTCGCCCAAAGTCCTTCTGCACCTTTGCACTTCTCTGGCATGAGCATCACAAATGGTTTGATACGATTGTTTTTAGGCTTCTCATCTTCTCCCTTTACCGCTCCTGAGATATTCGATACATTCACAATTTCAATTTAAAACTCAATTAAATACAGCTAGAAACCAAATGGCGCTTTTTACGCGCATTTTCAGCTGAATACATTGATCGTTCAAACGATGCAGTGTATGATTTAATTGGTTTGAAATTGTTTATGAGTTGCCCAATAAAATTATTACGTCAAATGGGCTCTTGTTGCGGAGAAAAATCTACTGTTGAATTTTTCACTTTAACTTATAAAAATATCTCTACACATACACAAATTTGTTATGTTGAAAAAAAAAATCCATAATTCGTTGAATGACACGCTTTTGTGATTTGTTTCATGCAAACGACAGAAGTTGATCGAGGTGTGCATAGCTTTAAAGGTCTGTTTTCTACAATACGCATAGTTTTTATTCCTCTATTATTATTTTTGTGTTTATAATTATGATCCTTCTGTTTTGTTTTTTTTTTTCTTCCTACTTACGACAGATTTATCATTTATAGCCATTTTTTATGAGCTTTTTACGTGTCAAAAAAAATAAAAAAGGTTTCCCAATCGAACGAAAAAAAAACAGGATTGCTTACTATTTTTCAAAATTTCTCATTCTCTATTCTTTGCTTTTTTAATTTCACACATTTAAAATCGGCAGTCTGTGATTACGAAAATTGCTAATTGGCTTGGAATGGGATCAAAATTGATGTATCAATGCTTGCTGGCTTTTTTTATCATTTATAATATTAATAATAATGATTATTATAATCATAATGACAAGGATGATAATGATGATGATGATGATGATGATTGGTAACAAGCTGATGATTACATTTTTTTTTTTTTTTTTTTTTNGTAGTTATATACTTTAAGACTTGTAATTTATTGTCGAAATCGAGAGAGAAAGTAGCAATATGTAGCAAGTGTATGACAATGAGTCACGAAATTTATTAAGCAAGTAAAGAACATACGGCAAAGCCTGGATCGAATAAGATTTAATTAATAATCGACATGTTAATTGCGTTGGCTTTTTGTCTATTTGTGATTTTTTTTACTAGCTATCATTGCAATCGGCTGCATTGACGATATTCATTAACAAACATTATGAATAATGCTCAAATGAAGCATAAATATTAAGCCAATATTACTCTAATGTATACTTTAAATAATCAAGTAAGCGTATGCGAGTCGTGCGACTTTCTCGACTTTTTACCTACCTTATTGGGGGAAAAAAAATTCCATCATTTTGATAAATGACAAAATCGCTTTAAAAAATTTGCAAAGCGCTTCGAACCTGATATAATGTCAATTTTTTTTTTACATTTGACTATTTAAATGCTTTTGCAAGGATATGTACTTTCGTTTTTTCATGAAATTCGAATTGAATGAGACATACATTTATATATCCTCGTCAATTTTTCTAATAACTGTACAAAGCTTGTGTATTAATTTTATTGTGTATAATAAATGAAGGTTGTGAGCATTAAGCACCACAATCGAAAGAAAAGAAATTTTTTGTATCTATATGTGTCATTATTTGTATACCTACCTAGGAAATTTGCGAAAGGGATAAATAAAAAATGATAAAAAAACATAATATCTTGTAATCTCACAAAGTGTATTACGTCCAGTGGACAGTTGACTAGATCAAAAATACAATATGTTACAAATATAAACGCATAAAAATGTAGTTGATAAAATTTTTGCACAATCATCCTAGATCTTAGTACAACTCGGATGGCATTACTGTGCTCTAAAACATGAAAATTTTTTTTTTTTTTCTTACATTCGCAATAGAATTTTTAGATATTACCATATACATTATTAATTGCTAGACTGCTTTACAGATAGCGTCATTTTCAAGAGAGTTTAGGAACGATTATAGTTTGTAACAGACTAGGATTAGGAATTTTGTATCGACTATTTTGTTTTACCATACTCATGCACAGTTCCACGAATAGCCCGGAGTCTGGTCTTGGAGCCTCGAGGACGTCCCTGCCAGGTAGCACCGGCGAGGAATACTACGTTGACGAAGTCGACGCCCAGCCTCCGCTCGGTACCTGCAAGGCTCTCTACCCATTCGATGGTTGTAATACTTTTGTATTAAATTTCGATACAAGAATAAAGCATTTTTATTACTGTTTCGTAATTTTTTTTTTTCTTCTCTTTTCAGCTACTAGTGAAGGATCAATACCAATGTACGACGGCGAAGAACTTTATATGATTGAATTGGACCAAGGCGATGGATGGACGCGAGTCCGTCGGATTTCGCAACCAATTGAGGGTTTTGTACCCACATCATACATAGAATGTCATTTATACAATACATAGTTGGAGCAATACAAACTTTTACTTGAAGAAAAAATTCCAAAATTGTGCGAAACGTAATAGATCTAGACGTCTATAAAAAATTTACGTCGATTTAGGCTTGAGCTGGGATTTTCAGTCCCATGTGAGTGTTTAAACTCAATGTGGAGAAAAACTTAGTTCTGCAGTTGTCTTCAAGTCGTTTTCAATATTGATTGAGTTCAAAGCAAAATGCGACTCTAAATTCCAACTTTATCATACAAGATGATATCTGCCTGTCTCATCTTTCATGGATCATATATTTATCGGTCGAAAAAAAAACATAAATGTATATTTTCAAACAACCATAGAGCTTTAAAATCAAGTTTGAATGAAAAGTAATACTAATTCATGACAGATTTTACTGTATCGAGTGTACGTATGTATACATAAATGTTACACTAGAAACGTAAATAGGGCAACGTAACTTGTTCCTTCGTGGAACTTGAATCATATAGGTTGTCATTTAAATACGTGAAATACAGGCATTACTTTGTGTGATTCCTTTAATCTTATTATTTTGTACGTCTATCGAATTAGGTGCAATTTTTTCTTTTATGCATGTAGATGTAAGAAACAATGCTAAACAGCCATAGAAGAATTTTTTGTTGGGAGAAAAAGCGAGAATGTATACTGTAAAAGTTACTAATGAGTATTTCCTGCCCTTTTTTTGCAATATGTTTCTCGTAATTAACATTAGAGTATCGAAAATCGTCTTATTCTTAAAAATTTGTAATCTTTAAAAACGCGTGATTATCCGATTTGATTAAGTATATAGATTATTCAATAAAACAAAAGTACGATGACGTCGAATGATTTCGAGTCATAAAATGAAACTCATCCAATTGCCGGATGATATATTACTTTATAAGATTATAGACAAAGTTCTGGATAGGAAAAAAAATGTAGATTCAGTACTGTATGCGTATATACGTTGTTATTTTATTTTAGAAACACTTTTGGCGTGAAAGAGCCTAGAATAAGTCGCTAAAACGTTGCTTTATAAACAAAGGCATAGCTCAATCGTTACAAAAGGCATATTGATAACAAAACTACTTATTCACATGTAAATATATATACATATACTATTAATATCGGCGTGAGTGACAAAAAAAAAATAAACAATTATGAAAGCGTGAAAGTGCCAGAATCGGAGTCTCGCGTTAATTACGAGTTCTCCTGGCCCGTCGGCAAACGCACGATATGTGCTTGTCCCATATTTTTGTTGATTTATTTTTTCCAACTAAGTATTAACGACAATGGCACGATCCCTCTTAGAACACAGCGCAATGCTAGTCAAAGAAAATGAGTGTCGAGATTTAAATGGTTTAATTTACCATGAGTTGCAAGCCGGATGTACTCGGAAATCGTGACTCGGTAAATGCCAACAGAATTTTATGAGATTGCACAGGGTAAATTCAGACTTTTGAAAAGAATTTTTTCTATTGTTATTTTTTTCGATTATATTTAACTGTAAAAATTTTTTGTTACTGCCATTATACTGAAATTAGATGTAAAGATACAAAACAAAGATTTTCAATCAAGTTTCTACTGTAGATAAGAGTATTTTGTATGTAACATTGCACAGTAGTTAAATAGTGAAACGTAATAGGCAATTTTACAGGCTCCTGAATAAATTATTATGACAAATTTGAAGGAAACTTGATATTTAGTTAGAAAATTAATTTTATGAATTTGAGGAAAAAAAATTTAGTTCGAACTATACTAACTCGTTTTTTGAGGAAACTCGTAATTTCGTGGGAATATATTAGATACGTCCTAGATCCGATTATGGAATAAGCAAATTATATATGCACCTGAAAGTTGCGTATATTCAATGTATATATGTTCGATCGTTACTAGTTTTCCATAAGAAAAAACAGATTCAGCAAGATTAGTCGATAGAGCAGCGAGACAAACAAATGCTACTGCATGAATGAAGATGATGATTTTCTTATCAGAGTATTCTATTCATTTTTTTTATCCAATTTGTTTACTAAATTTGTATTTTATGTATGCATATAAAAACAGCGTTTTTTTTAGTTACTTGTAGTTATATACTTTAAGACTTGTAATTTATTGTCGAAATCGAGAGAGAAAGTAGCAATATGTAGCAAGTGTATGACAATGAGTCACGAAATTTATTAAGCAAGTAAAGAACATACGGCAAAGCCTGGATCGAATAAGATTTAATTAATAATCGACATGTTAATTGCGTTGGCTTTTTGTCTATTTGTGATTTTTTTTACTAGCTATCATTGCAATCGGCTGCATTGACGATATTCATTAACAAACATTATGAATAATGCTCAAATGAAGCATAAATATTAAGCCAATATTACTCTAATGTATACTTTAAATAATCAAGTAAGCGTATGCGAGTCGTGCGACTTTCTCGACTTTTTACCTACCTTATTGGGGGAAAAAAAATTCCATCATTTTGATAAATGACAAAATCGCTTTAAAAAATTTGCAAAGCGCTTCGAACCTGATATAATGTCAATTTTTTTTTTACATTTGACTATTTAAATGCTTTTGCAAGGATATGTACTTTCGTTTTTTCATGAAATTCGAATTGAATGAGACATACATTTATATATCCTCGTCAATTTTTCTAATAACTGTACAAAGCTTGTGTATTAATTTTATTGTGTATAATAAATGAAGGTTGTGAGCATTAAGCACCACAATCGAAAGAAAAGAAATTTTTTGTATCTATATGTGTCATTATTTGTATACCTACCTAGGAAATTTGCGAAAGGGATAAATAAAAAATGATAAAAAAACATAATATCTTGTAATCTCACAAAGTGTATTACGTCCAGTGGACAGTTGACTAGATCAAAAATACAATATGTTACAAATATAAACGCATAAAAATGTAGTTGATAAAATTTTTGCACAATCATCCTAGATCTTAGTACAACTCGGATGGCATTACTGTGCTCTAAAACATGTTCAATCTCTCTGGTTAATAAAATACAATAGTAGTACAGTTGTATGTGTTAAAAAAAAGTTAATCGGTTAGTTAAACAAATATATTTTAATTACAAATTATTTATATTATTGCGCGTTGAGATTGAAAATATTCCATATTCTCGATCACGATAGTTTTCTAGTCAAATAGTACCGCCAGCTCGTAGCACGCACACATTGGTACATATTCATTAGTCACGTTGAAATCTCACACTTGTATAACATTTATGTTAAGTTTTACATGTAGATATAAATACAGGTGTGTGCTTTAGCTGTTGTTATTGCCGCTGCCACTGAAAAGGCACTAAGTATATATAATCAACGGCCGAAAAGTAGGTAACACTCTACGGTGGGCCGTGACGAATTTTATTATTGGCAGTCGTATTTATTGTCATGCAAACGGCTTGTGTTAATATTATTAAACGTTTGATGAAGACAAACAAATTTCAAACTGCTAGAAAGTGACTAGCTGGATTTGTTTGCTTTTTGTTATTTCAAATAAATAAATATATTATCTACAATGTTAGCATAAGTTTACTGAATGTAAAATTTTACATTATTTATACATATTAAATTATGAATACCAAACGATCGTTGACGAAAATCCCTAAACTAAAGAAGTTGTTTTTTTTATCTGCAAAAATGTGATCAATGAGTAAAAAAAATCGTGTATTATCTTTCATATAGTTAAACTTGATTGTTGAATTAACAATATAGATCGACGATATCTTTAGAAAATAATAGCCTTTCATATATAAAACATGTGCATATTACATGGATTTGACGATAATCCACTTTTACTTTAGGTTTGGTTTTTTTTGTCATGTACATAATATCACAGTATGAAATCCAGTCGAAAGTGTTCGCTTCATATTTTCAATTGCGCTCGGCTTCGTTTGATTAACAGCAATTATGTTTAAATTGATCATTAAGCATCAAACGGCTTTTTTTTCAAACGTAAATTTTTAACTCGACACCAAAATCAAGATACATGTAAATAAATATTTCGATTATTTATAAAAGTTGTATAAATTTGTATATTTAGGTACACATTCTTATCTGTGACATTTATCAATAAAAAGTACACGTCGCAAATTTTTATTCAATTCACGTTGAAAATAATGCGAATTGAAATGCACGGATCATGACAAGAATGTAGGTTTTTTTTTTCAATTTTCCAAGTAACAAAAAGTTGGATCGATAATTGCACAAGAGTAGGTATATAAATATCTGTACACATTACTTATATATTTTCTACACGATGCAGTTTATTATAGCGCAAAACACTTTTGAGGTACCAAGGCTTGACCGACGATGCATCGTTGCATCCGCATCGAACAAATTTTATTTTATGAAATGAGGATGTAACAAGTATTCGGAGAATACTTATTGGCTGGCGCCATTCGCAACTATCACACATCTTATATACTGTTCACCCATTGCATCGTAACAATACATACTAATACATACTAATCGTAAGTACATAATAGTCGAGCACTTTTGTCCATCGTACTACATAGAGAGCTATCCACCAATTGACCTATAGTACCACTGTTGTAAAATTTTTTTACATGCATTTTTCACGTGATTTCATGCGCGATTAAGATTTTCCGATAAATGAATCAACAAAAAAATGAATTGTGTTTCGTAACTTTCAATCTTAGGATAAATCGATGTTAAATTTGTACTGTTGCGATTTCAATCGAAAAAAGTTCAAGATAAAGTTATTCAAAAATAAGACGATGGTATACTTATTTACATACCCTAACGAATGATAATAATCGTTTCAAATTGATCGTGGTCATCGAATCATGATTTCGGATAGCTCTGTAGGGTAAAAATTATACAACACCATCCACGTAAATTCATCATTAATTTTTTTTAAATAGATCACGCAATTCACCTACACGTACGGAACAATACGTATATTATAATTTTATGTCAAGTTTAAGCAACCGATACGAGTACACTGTGCGCTTGTTGACGAAAAAAATATATCACTAAAATTTTAATAATTGGTTGAGTCAGATTAAATAAAATTACCAAGTTTCGTAAAAATCAATGCTCGATAACACCGATCGCGTCTTGCATGCACAACTGTACATTCACGCGCCCGCGTAAACGCTGTAAAAATAATTAATTATCACATATGAATCATTGATGTACGTGAAAAAAAAAAAAAATCGTGAAAAGTAAAAATAAAGGAAAAGATCGAGTAACGCAAAATCTGAGCATTCGTTTTTCTTCATGTGTGTGAGCGCATACACAATATTTTATACACTTGAGTATGGTATTGCGAGTGCCTATAAGTTGAGTCGGTGCGCGACTCGTGGGGACGTTGGAACGGAAGATCGACCATGTGGATGCAAAAGAAAATTAAGTAAGTACCCCAACAGGTAAGTCATGCATACAAGTGTCTCTGTGAGTGCGATGATCAGCATATGGGGAGTGATCGAGAGAGCTCAGAGGTCCTCCCACTCCTCGCGTTGTCTGGGCGACAACTCGATTCTCAGTCGCACCGCGAGGTCCTGCAAACTATCGTGTGTCCGCGCCGGAAGCGGGTTCTCTTTGAGATCGACGAATTCTAACGTTGGCGCGTGTCTGAGCATTTCAACGTCGATTTCTGTTAAAATAAAAAAAAAAAAAAAAAAAAAAAAGGGAAGAAAAGAAATCATTACTTTTATGAAAAAAAATACTTGAAATTTTTTTTCACCACCAAATTACACGGCACGATATTTGACGTGCGGAAGTACGAGTATACAAAAATATATATATATATATATGTACGTACGTGCATTCACGTAATTACAAGTAGAGATTTGAACATTGCATACCTATGATGGAGTTGTTGTTGGCGAGTAAACGTTTGAGCTGAGGTATCCGACAGGTGACAGTGGGTAGATCGATAAAGGCATTGTGTGATATGTCGAGTCTCTCGAGGGCCTGGAGTTCGGACAGCTCCTCGGGCAGTTTGCTCATCTGGTTGTGGCTGAGGTTCAACTCTGTGCCGGGCATTGTCATAAGGAAGAAGGAAAAAAACGTAAGTTGTGAGCACATAGTGCGGTAAAACATTATTAAATAAGTGATGCAAACCGGTGATAAGAGAGAACTTGACGGCGAATTTCGGGGGTATCTTGGTGATGACATTGCCGGAAAGGTCGCAGCTCTTGAGTTCCGTGTGTCGCATTAGGTGATAGACGGCATCTGGTACCTGCATCAATTGGCATTCTGACAGATCTGCAAACATTAATAGATATATACTTACAATATACTTACATCAGTCGAGCAATGAACAGCTACACGTATATACATTATATATATATAGGTACACGAATATCATAAATGTTACAAGTGGAGTTCCTTTAATATAATATATACTTAGGTACCTATAATAGTAACGCATATCATATATACTATTACCTAAGGGCACACGGGTCATTTTACGAAAAACGGATTATTGGGATTTTTTTTTTTTTTTTTNTTTTTTTTTTTTTTTTTTTTTTTTTTTTTTTTTTTTTTTTTTTTTTTAGTACTTTTTTTTTTGGTGTGGTTAGTGACCAAAACAAGCCATGATTTTTTAGAATACACGATCTAAGTATATTCAGTTGCGCGGATTTACGAGAACATGGGATTCATCAGATTTTAGGAGCGCCACTTTTACAGCATGAAACTCTTCGAGAAAATTTTTTTTTTTAGTTCTCTAAAATTTACCAAGTAAAGCCAACCCTAATTACTTTACGTAAAATCTTATATGACTCGCAAAAATGATTAAAAGGCCGTATTTTTCTTCCAGGCGTCGTCAAAAGTGAACATTTTTGAATGTGATAAGAGAGCCTGTTACGCCAAATGAGCAGCCACTTTTTGCCTTTTAAAATAAAAGAAACAGTTTATATCTAATTTCTGTAGTAAGTGACTCTTTACTGTTGAAAAAAAGCTTTTAAAACAAAATCTCCATAAATCCGATTTTCAATTTACCGGATGATGGGAAATCTCGCTTTTTCGTCAAATTTTCAATTTAAATATATAAGTAGTATATCATGTTTCTCCACTACCACGTTTTCACATCGAGAATCCTTTAATTGATACATATTACCTTGATACTTATGTAAGCTATACTTGTACAAGCAGATATCAATTGATTAGACACATTGTTGTTATTATTATTATTAATTATCAACAACAAGGAGGGGAGGGTGATTGAACGAGGAGTGATTGACTGACATGATTGTGGTCGGGCTTATTAATATTTCTTCGATGATATACCTACGTATTATTGTTCTTAAAATATATCTATTAGAAATAAAATAAAAATACCTAAGTACTTATACCTGTACGTGTTATTTATGTACAACATATTTATATGCTTATATAGTTACATTGATGCAAGTTTTCATACGTGCACATCATCGTACCTTACTTATAGGTATATACATTATATTATGTATGATACATACACATATATATATAGGCACGCGGATCGACGAAAGTAAGTAGTTTACGCTTTCACCTATACGGGAAATGTTTTAATTTACTATACGCGCGTTTACTTGCGTGTTTCCTTCCGCGTAACGTATGTTGTATATATGATATCGGATATACCTATAACAACGCCCGATGCGCTGCACGCACGTTGTTACCTCTTTTTTGCACACTCAATTACTTATTTACTTTTGGGCATTATTATAGCGACCTACGCGTAAGTATTTTTCACTCGAACCGAGGCATTGGAACGCGCAGATATGCTATAGGTGTACTTAAATACGATGAGTCTTTTTTAAATTAACGGACCCGTTGCTTTGTACTTTCCGGGTGCATTGACTCTCTTGTCTCACAATCACTCGGTACCTACGGAATACCTAGTATATACTCGTACGTGTACATACTTACATTGCATTGCCGCTATCGAAATAATCCTAGCTTTGAGGCACACCTCTCTCTCTCTCTCTCTCTCTCTCTCTCTCTCTCTCTCTCTCTCTCTCTCTCTATATATATATATATATATATATATTACCTATATTATACGGGCGTTTTAATGCACACGTTACATATTATTTATTACAACTCTATCTTTTTTTCCATCCAACATCCGCAAAAAACTCGCTCAGTTTTCTCTAGCGCTGCTCTATTATCGTACGTTTCTTTCAATTTTTTGTCTTCCTATACTTAGGTACGAGCTAAAATAAGCCCGAGTACCAACTAGCCAGTCAATCGGCATTTTTTATGCTATACCTATCTATCTAGGCGTGCCATAATTTTGTTGCCGCGCAACTGCTGGTGCTTATCCAGTCAAGGTCGTCTTTGTTAATTCCATTACTTCTGCAATAGCTGCTCCATATCATCCTTTGTCAACATTTACCACGATTTTATTTATTTTTTTTTTTTAACGAAGAACACGAAATACAACAATTTAGAGATAAAAGGTACAATGTGCGTACCTGTATGTAAACATGCGCTTCCAACGATACGCAAAATAATTGCGTGAATTGCAAATCGTTTAGTTTGATCATCAAGTTAATATAATTACAAAAGGAAAACCGGCAATCTCTTATTCCTTGCAATGGAGATTAGTACTTTATACTGTTTCTTCTTTATTTGCAGATTAAAAATTTTAAAGTTGTATATAACTATTGTTAACTGAACACGCAAGCTCCAAAGTTACGTGTAAGTATATAAAATATACATGCACACATCATGGACCGAAAACGGTCAGACAGACGCGTTTGAGTATTTTAGGATTTATACGTATAATATATAATAATGCGTGGGTGTACACCTATATATACGTATGCTATGCAGGTGATGAGTACCTATAGGACACATATTCATTTTTGAATATCGAAAAATTGGCTTCCCGTATAAATATGACGGACTACTGATATACTTGAATCGATTTCATTAATTGGAGGATTTTCAAAAATGATCAACATATACAAGTAATAATATTCAACGTCCACGGAGAGCAAGTAATTTCTTAGTTGTAGAATTTTTTTATTTCTGTCTATAGGCATGTATGTGTGTATGTATGTATATGTGACGTGCACCGTGCAAATTAAAGCTCCGGACTCCGGACTCTGCGTCTGCGGCCCGCTCAACTTAACCTTCACACTGCGCTGTGCTTGCAGATCGACTTGCAAAGTTCTTAGTATAGCGCCACAAAATTCAAAGACAAGAGATAAGTAGATTTGATGATACTGGACAAGAAAGGCAGCAGAAAGTAGCAAGATTATCGGAAACAGTATAAGGGGATAAAAAAATTAAATTTGATACATAATAATAGCTGAGCAAGTAAGTAAACAGAGTCGGTTTACCTAGACTACTGCTTTCCTGGGCATCCTCGCAGCGTTGAACGACCTTCGTGACGGCGTTCGCCATGTTGCTGCTACTTTAACTGACGCTACACGGCTACACTGCTATACTTATTTATATACGTGCGCGTGTGTGATGTGCCTAGTACACCTATAACCTATAACTGCCTATGTGGTATAGATAGGTTCGTTCGAAGCTCGGAGATGCTCCGCTCGGAGATCAAAAATTTATCCTAAAACACGCGCTTTCTTCATCCAAGGCCTCTACATGCATGAGGAGCCCCGAGTTACGTGAGCATCGATAATTCACCAATTGTTAATCATGCAAGCTTAGTCTAACTAATGTTGTAAAGCCTAGAGGAAAGCATCATAAACTTAATTCATTGCTAAAAAAATGATTCCCAAGGGAGAGTGAGCTTACAGAGCTCCTCTCGTGAGGTGTCAAAAGAGGAATGCGTGCTCGGAAGATCTCCCTGCAGATGAACCTCGAACACACCTATATATAATAATAATAATTATACTGCACAAGCATACATATTATAAGTAGTCTAAAATTGGACCAGGACAAACATTATGTATTGTGATCCTATCTACTTATTACATATTTCTTGCTTTCTTGCTTGGCTCACCAAATGACCAAATATAAGTATATATATATATAAAATTCCCTCCGTGCTTGATAACTCTCACCTGGTACCTCATCATACCGAAATGAAAAGGCATATTATTTCGACTGTATAATAATTGTGCATCATCATTTTACACATCATTTTATAAGAATAATTGCATTATTACATGTTTTAGCTAGTGTATAAACAACACAATATACAATTTAATCTCAAATTCTTTTTTTAATTTTTTTCTTGTTCGACACTTGTATTCAGATAAAATTTATTGGAAACACGCTCAGATATCATTGCCGTAATCAATTTTGTCCATGTATACGTGATGCCGTTTTTTAATTATCGATGAGACGGGTACACATAAGTAGTGCACTCATCTTCACGGTAAACATCATTTAAGTACAATAATACCATGGCCAATACCAATAACCCAAAACCATCACTACTTTTATGCTTTTTTGAAACTTGAAAAAAAAAATGCCTTAAGTTGCCATGGGCTTTGTAAAAGTGTCGATAGCGCTAGGCCCAAAATTTTCCAGCTTGTTTGGACGTCATCGCAACTCCGAACAATAAAAATCACGAAAAAATAAAATTGAGTACTATTAATCTATTTAGAAGTACATACGTATATATTTATACAAATATGGAAAAGCTCAAATAGTAACTGTATTGATACTTCAGGGTTTGACGAATTGTCACTTTTTCCGAAAAACTGACAGTAAATATAGATAACATGTACAATAGTTATTGAATATGAATCTTAATCGAAACTGTAATCCAGTAGTTAGGCATTTATGTATATTTTTGTTTTTAAAATATTAATAAAACAATTGTAAACTGTAACTGCTCGACAGGATTTCGTATTTGTTTTTATTTCTACTAGTATACTCTTCGGAATAACACGTTGTGTCGAATAATACATAGTTCCAAACGTGCATCTAGAAAGTATGAGTAGATAAACGAAGATTATTATTTTGCGTGGTATAATCATCATAAATTTTAACAAAACCGTTCAACCAAAGGGCCGAAAACAAAGTGTTCCCCCTTAAAGGAGTAATTTTAAGAAAAGTCGTTGTACGACTCATATATACTTGCATTATGTTAAAAGAGTAAGAGACTCTTTGACAAACTTTATTGTCACTTTTTTGCTGGTGGATGGATATTCATAAACGTATATATTCAGCAGAAAGTGTAATTTTTAAATTGAACAGCAGTTTAGCTTGTTTTTCTCCCCATCTTTTGCCGCGACAATAAGTTTTATCTCGAACCATGTGTCAGGGAAAAAAAAAAAAAAAAAAAAAAAAAAAAAAGTTTTTTTTTTAACATTAGAAAATTGTGGGACAGTAAAAGACTTGCTTTGTTTATAATGGTTATCGGGAAACGAAAAAACGCAGGTTTGTGAAATGACAGATGTAAAGGGAAAATCAGTTCGAGGAATGTATATAGGTTAAAAAAAAAAAAAAAATGTACTGTAGCTATTTACGTAAAAAAAACCAAAGCCACTTCTGGAGTCGCAAAAAAATGGTGTTCCTTTTTCTTTTTTTCGCGGATTTTCTCGTATGTAACACACATCACATGTATACGCTTATTAGAGATGCACGCGTTCCGGCTTGTCTCGCGCGGGAATCGACCGACCTTACAGTCCTCAAACGCCGCAACTGCACGGCAAGCTGCCTTTTAAGGCCTTAGGTCCCATATAGGGCAAAACAAGGGAGCACGTGTGCTTCATTATTATTACCATTATTATTATGATTATTGTGCATTTTTTACTACTTGAGAGCTGGACACCACCACACGGTGTACACCAGACTACTCGCTCGCTTTATTGATGTTCTTTCGATGTTTGCATGCAGGCATGTACATGCGCTATATTTTGTTAAATTATGTTATAAATATATATACATATATATATAAATGTATATGTGGCGTTTATTTGTGTTATTATTTTTATTTTCCAAGCGTTTATACGCGTGCGTTGTAAAAGTCTTTTTGACACAAAGAAGGTTATTTTCGTGTGCTGACGGAAATCCGCGACCGAGAGGAAAGCCCCGAGCAGAGTTTGGGAAAATTCCAAGAAAAATCGTTTCTCGCTCTTGTCACAATGCAAGATTGGCTTTGGGTCGACGAAGCGCGCGAAACAAAGAATTGGCACGCGCTCGAGTGCTCTCTCTCTCTCTCAACAACGCGGGGTCTCACGCGTTTCTTTTTATTATCCGCCTCTTTATTCAATTTATTCCTTCCCCCTTTTCTCGTAAACCCACCACGGGTACTTTGGACGTTAATGTAAACGAGAGTAGTTTGTTTGTTTGTTTCATACGTGCATAGTCATACATGATCCTTCGCGAGAAGGGCTCCCCTTCTTACCTTATACCCTTTTTTTCCCCTCTCCGTAACAAAATATATATTATCAACATGATCGCAGTTTTCGTGCTCCAAGACCGACTTGATGATTCACATTTATGTTTACGTATGGGTATGCCTACAATATTTTGCCGAATTAATCGTAACAAAGGTACTTTATTCATATAACGTTAAAAGCGACCGCGTCAAATCGTGTGTCCAAAACTAAATCGGTGGAAATCTGGTTCCAACTATTCATCAGCGAATCCAGTGATTCCAGTACGGCTACGACAGTTTGTTCAAGTTAACGATTTCGAATGGAGAAGGGGAGCCGTGAAATTAGCCTGCACTGGGCCACGGTAGAGAAAATTCACGAATGAACAAAGCGCGACTGACCAAGGCGCAGTGATAATTTAATTTAACTGTTAAATAAGTAACTGTGAATCGATTCGAATTTAGAGAGAGAGAGAGAGCATACATATAATATATTATATACGCACCGTCGACGAACCACACTCTATCCAAATGCAATGTATGTTTTACGGGGATACCTACAAATGTATGCTATGCGCTTATCTGAAGAAAAGGATAACCAGGATAACCTGAACAATGCCCATTCGTGTAAGGTCAGTAAAATATATACCTATACGTATATAATATGTCTACATACGCAACTAAGTACCTGTCATTGTGCACTTCACTAATGTAGGCAGTTAACTATATATATATATAAAATTTTGTACATAGAAATTCTGTTGAGTAAATGACGGCGGTAAACCAAGTTAGTGATTGGCTAGTGTTTTTTATTTTCATCTGAGCAGTTGTTATATGTATAATCATCTACTATCATAGTTGTCGTTGGTATAGCTGCAGAGTAAAGCAGTGCTTGCGAGCTTTAAATTATATCGCGGCACTTTATAATGTAAGAGGTAAAATTTCGCTATTTTCGTTTGAGATTACAACTGCAAGTGTCATTTTGGTAAATACATGGAAACTCGGTTCCCAAAGATTGTCTGTTGATTGTATGCATAAAAAAAGTAGAGAAAGAAAAATTTTATCAAAAAATGTGTTGTATATGGTTACCAACGGGTATATGGGTATATAATATAATATGTTATATTAGGTATACATGTACGCACGAGCTCAGAGTAATCTAATCGGTGATTTAAGTACTTTTGGCGAGAGCAAACAAGGTGCACGTGCCGCAAGTGTCTCGCCGCCAAAACACCCAGCACTGTATGCGTATAATAAAAATATATATATATAATACAACAATAATATATTTGCTTGGGCTCTCGTGTGCGTCCCACTAGATTTACACTTCCTCTCTCTCTTTTTTTTCTTTTACTCTCCATTCTGTTATACACAACAATCAATTCTTTTATATCATTTCACATAAGTGCAGTATATTTTGTCAAAATACGCTAAAAACGCACAATTTTTTGTTTGTTTTTTTTTTGTTTTCATTTTGCTCGATTTTGCTCGTGACTTTTCAAAGTTGCGAATAACGTCACCACTATATATATATATATATATATATATATGTATAGTACTAACTTTTACACACGTAGCACTTGAATCACTGAATGAATATTTTGCAAATTAATACCGGTCACGTTGTGCTTAACGTACCTTGCGCATAGTTTCATCCCCGCAATAAAAATAATATAATGATGTATAATAATAGGTCAACTCGGCGATGTTGGTATAGCACGAGCTAGAGAAAAAACGTGTGCCACGCACTGAACGCTTGCATCAGCTGCAGTATCGTCAAGGGTGAATCTGTGGATGGCGCGTACAGATATATATAAATACCTATTCAGTACCCACTTGTATTTATACTCGTGACTATCATCATCATCATCATCAGGTAGTCTGCAGATGTTAGGTATGTATATTAGAGAGAGAGAGAGCTTTGCCTCATCCCTGCACGCTCAACATATCAATCCCATTTATGCTTCATTTAAAAACAAAACAAAAATTAATTAATTAATAACTCTTGCTATTACTACGATCCGTCAAGGATCTGCGTGTAACAGACGAAAAACATGTACCTACGTACTTTTATTTAAAAAAAAGTATTTGCAAAGACTTTTCACATCTTTATGCAGAGAACAATATGGTATCGGATGAGAGATAGAGCGACACTACCAAAAATCTACATCATTTTTACGAGATGATTGAAAAAATATCAACGTAGAGACTGAGACAGATGAGGTACGGGGAATCGAAGATAATAAAAGCATCTATATACACGTACATATAAGTGTAAAGTCAGTATGCAATGTGGTTAGCAAATTAACAAACAGTGAAAGAAATTACGGCATAGCGCTGAGAGAGAGAGAGAGAGAGTTCAAAGTCAAACGAACTGAAGGGTGAGAGTGTGGAGTAAAATACGAAAATTGATACTTGTTGCGATAGTATATCCAACAAAGGGATGTATAGATAATTAAATAATATATAAGTATATACAAACACACTTAATATATGCTTAACATATTATGTTGCGTGACAATTGAAATTTCGTATCATTTGCGATATGTAATTTTCAGTCAAAGCCTATAATCTACTTAAGATCATATAAATATAATGTTTCTAAATTATGAACACGTACAAGTGGTTGGGTACAGCGGAAACGCGAGGGTGACGAAATAAATTCACGTAACAAAGGTTTTGGTGTATGTACATGCATACCGTGACTAAATGTAAGTACGCATTGCATTGCCGTGGATATAGGCAATCCGGTAGAATAGTTATAGTTATAGGTTATATATTATATAGTAAGTACCTAATGCGTGGTTCAAACCTCGAGAGAAATATATTGCAACCGAAAAGAAGTACCTCAACGCGATCTACTTGCATCCTTATCGCGCTCCAGCGATTTTTTCTTTCTTAGCGAGCAATAGGTATTCATATATATGTTACAAGGGTGTGTTTACTGCAAGTGGATAACTAAATAACTATGCAAGTGCACGCAGGACAGAGCTGTAATCAAAGACACGTACTTGATGGGCCCTACGATATTTACAAAAGTAAACATAGATTTGTTATTGTTGTTATTATTATTATCATCTCATAAAACATGAGTCTTCAACTATACATACAACGAAAATAGAAAATAAGCTTTACATCATCATTCTCGTGTATATATATATATTGCTACTTTCTCCTCCGCAACTTGTACTTTCTGTCCAAGTGAAGGTGTAAAATCGGATGCACATATTTATACGGATGAAAGTTAACATTTATCAGATCGCATGTGATGTATTGCTGTAGGTATGACATGTTATATAGTTATTAGCCGCATTGTCGCCTCGCCTTTGACGATACACCTGCGATACACTTACTTTACACACGTGTACCTACTAAAATGTGCTATTTACTCTGATGCCCAACTATTTTAATTTTTGAGCATCAAACAATGATTTTTCTCAAGAACGAACAAAAGAGAGACAAATGAGTATATCATATAGCTAAACGTAAAAATAAGGAAAAAAACAAAAAAAACATTGGAGCCGAAGGAAAAAATCAAGTAAAATCGCAATAACAATGCAATGGTAAAATTATTGTTTTGTTGATTGAAATTTGTTTAGTTAAAAAAATTTGATGATTTTTTTGTCGTAGCCGAGTGAATTGGATTTCCAACATAACTATATTATATATTATCCATGTCAGTTAAACCTTGAAATACGTAATCTTTCGTCGCGTTTGAACCGTTAAATTCAAACCTCGATGCATATTGTACCGACTTGAGAAATTCTCAAAATTGAATTCAGAAGTCGGAAAGTACGAATCGTTGGGGTAAGTATATAATATGTATATATATATATATATATAGGTTCGGATGGAGAAAAAGTAAAAATATATTCGAATATAATTGTAAGAATTACTTTTGGAGGGAGCTGTAACTTACTTGATGAGCAATAAAAGGAGGTAAATATTCTCACCAAGGTTGCAGTTGTCCTGCGCCTCCTCGCAGCGCGAGACGACTCGGATGATGGCCCTGCCGGCCAACTGGACGCACACGGCCATCGCAACATTGCGCTCTCCCTGCTCCTGACTGATCTGCTGGTGCTGAATCTCTTCGGGATTGTACGTCGGAGGCTTCATTCTCGTGCTGCTGCTGTTCTCCCTATATCTTTTTATGCGGTTTTAACTTGACGATTGCTTTCGAAAACCTGCTCCCGGCGATGTGCAGGACAAGTAAGTATACTATAATAGGTACTCGCGTTACTCTGCTTTACTCTTTCCAAGTGTGTATACTTATAATATCATTGACACATATATTATATATGTACGTAATAATTGTATATATACAAGCGCTTCCCAAGTCTCCTCGAGAGCTATGGAAATGTGTCCAGCACTGGATGTTACGAACAGTACGAGCTTTCTTATTTTTCAATCTTACTTCGATCGAAAATGACAATCGGCAGGTTGTGAGTTTTCAAGATCTCGGAATAAAGAACGAAAGCACCAAGTATGTACGAACAAACACGTGGAGCAAACGATTTTTTTTTTTTTTTTTTTTTTTTTTTAGTATATCGCGTATCGAGATAGGATACAATCAAGTATAGGTATAATACTTGTAGGGGCCAACGAGACCTGCTCGCGAGAGCCGTCGCGCCCGCGGTTACACTGATATGACTGATACGCTCGGGAGCAATCGGGGCTATTTAAGACCTCGCAGGCCCGCGCTACCTACCCACCTACCTAACTCCTATATACCCGAGAGATGCAGGCGATCAGCTGACTGTGCCACACTCTATACATGTGTGTGTGTGTGTGTGTGTATACATGTATTCCCGCGGGCGGCTACCCCCACCCCCTATACACCGACCATCGCTCTCTCGTGATCTCTTTATATCCATCCTCCCTCGCTCTCTTTTCTCACTGTATGCATGCCTATAATTTAAATTAGTCGTACTTTATTATTATTATTATTATTATTCCTTTTTTTTTTTTTTTTTTTTTTTTTTTNTTTTTTTTTTTTTTTTTTTTTTTTTTTTTTTTTTTTTTTTTTTTGTTACCTACGTATATATATATGTATAGGTATATTGTTAGTACTGGTGCATCGAGCTCTCTCTTTCTCCGAGGCGCTCTTTGTGCATCATTTTCGTAAATGCATCTGCAGTCCCATGGACGAATCGAAATCAGCCAAAACAGCCCTTTTTTTTATTATTGCACGTCGAGCCACGTGTTTCTTCGAGAATTGCATTTGCGCATATGTATACCTACTTACTGTTTGTTTATTTATTTATTCGTTAATTTTTCACAAACAGAGGAGCAACTTGCAAGAGTTGCAGTATTATAAAGTGCACCATGATTTTCAAGTACCATCGACCGAGTTTGTGGTTGTTTTTTTACTCACTTGATAAGGGTTTACAAGGACTTGCAGAAAAAAAAGGATGCTGGTATAATCTACATATAGGAGCATACCTGTACTTATTAAATACAATTTGTCTCTGTCGCTGTTTCCCGGTTATTGTCATGACTGTCGGGAAATATACAATCACGTGATCTTAGCCTTGCGCTTCTGTGTCATCCAATTATCGCCTCATCGTATAAGTACATATATTCTTACTTACACGCATATGAGTACTTACCTATGAAATTTTACAAGCCGAGGTCACCGAGACGTCGATGTACCTATGGGTGTGATGTATAATCGACGGATCAATGAACCTCTTTTCTTTTTCTTTCTCCGCGGTTTTGGCAATTGTCATCATCATCATCATTATTATTATTATTATTATTATTATTACAATTCTTACAAACCATGACCATAATAATTACTCTTTGCCGTTCGTTTTTGTCCGCAAACACCACAACATCTACTCGTATGTATAGACACGAGGTGTGTATATATATTATATGTGTAAAAGTAAATCAGTAGAAAGTGTCCGGAGTATGGCCAGACGCGCTGGCTGATCCGTGTAGAGAGGAGTTAGCGCAGAGAAGCACAAAAGCGTCGTTACAGTTGATAGCGTTTTATCATTTCGTTCAATATTGTATTATAGATGTATTATAAAAAAAAAAAAAAAAAAAAAGGAAGAAAACTGTGAAACCGTGTAATTCAATAATATAGTTACAGCGATGGCAAAGTAGTTAGTTGTAAGCAACAATTAGTCTATTAACGGATGTGCTGTTATGTCCGCGAAACCTTCATGTCGATTTTTGGCGCTAAAAATCAGCGTCAATCAACGCCTTTGTTTCTTTATTTTACCGTCCTACTTGGTGGTTTTTATACTCTCAACAAATAAAACATCGCGTTATCCCAACAGAGGGTCTGACGCATGTGTACGGCAGGTGTAAGGCGTTCGATCTACCGATTCGGACGTAAGTACATAGGTCGGTCGGCAACGTGTCCATCGTTATACCTGTATATACATATATCCGCACACGCTCGTTCATCGTTTGTATACCTGCGTAAAATAAAACTTAACTGTACGGTAAAGTTGAAACTATACACATATAGGTGTACTTGATGATAATAAGACAATTAAGAGGACTTAGTCATACATTCATCTCGTGTGCGGACGAATGGCCACCTTTTTACTAATCGGTGTACTCAAAGGCTACTGATAAGTTAAAAGACCAATGTAATAATCAAAATGAAAATAAACGTCTCAATTGGCAGGAAGAAAACTCGTGTGGGGCAAGGAAGGAAAATCACAGCGGATTTCGAAAAGACTAAGCCAATTTGTCATTATTATAATTATTATTATTTAACGAGCTCTCTAAATAATAATATACTGTCATCATCATTTATGGTATTGTTGTAATTACTATTATGTTCACTGACATTATATATTATTATGATTGAAAGGGATGATAATAATAATTAGTTATTCATAAAGATTGTATAGGTATACTATAATAAGTGTACACCGGATAATAATGATCGAGACATTGTATACGTTGTACACCAAGAGCTTTGCTTTGTATGAACAAAAAAGCACGCATGTATAGTTGTTCACCTAATTATAAGCTTCGGTCGAGTCGTGTGCAGTGCAGCCTGGAAGATGCCAAAAGCTCAACGCCAAATGATCACGCGTATACGGGCATATACATATACACGTTCAGTCATTGGGATGCGGGACAAAGAGATTTGGCGCTTTTTACGCGTTATCACTACAGTGTACCCATATATATGTATACAGATGAATTAGAGAGCTTGATTGATTGGTAAAACTGATAGGTACACTTATTTAATACCAAGGTCACGAGGTCCGAATGGCATTATTTACGTGGACATGCATATTATCATATTGATGAAAATTATAAAAAAAACCTCAACCACTTTATAGTACAATCCTTGCACGTGAGCAGAGAGGGAACTCGAGAGGTTTGGTCATCAGTGGCGAAAATATTAGCGCTTTGATGGTATTTTAACATATGATTAAGGTGCACGTATGTATNTCTTTTGCGATATGGTGTAGCTTTTGATGCTTTTTCTTCCTCTTTTGAGTTACTCAGAGTTGAGCCGAGATTTTTTATGGTCCAAGTAAACGTTGTGGTGGGGCAAAAGCTCCCGTTGTTTTTCCGAAATATTGTTCGGTTGACATGAGACTCCATTTAGATTGAAACCATCCCTTAATCACGAGGTGACCGATACACACAACGCTGTGAGTCTGAGTCGAGTGAAAATTTTAATCGACGCGTCATCAAAGTGTAGCAGATACACTGTACGTTGGTGAAGTGTGTTAGGCAAGAAAAATAGGTACTGAAAATTAAAGAGGGTCACGCGATAAGTGATACGCGAGATTATTTCTCGAAAGGGCAAAAAAAAAAAAAAAAAAAAAAAAAAAAAATGAAAAAATAACTGGCAATAAAAGCTTTGTTCAAAAAATTTATTGCTATCCAGATACCGAGCTCAAAAAATACTATACTTTGTTAAAAAATTCATGGGTTTAAAAAGAAAAAAAGCCAGTGCTTTGCGGAACACTACAAATTTGGGGTGATTTGTCACGTTCTGATAAAAACTAATAAAATTCATTGGGTTTCGGCGAAAAGTAACAAGAATATGTAAACTTAAAACAATTTGCGATTCGTATGGGGCGTTTTTACAAAAACAAACACAACTTAATTATGAATTACCTACTACAACATTTTTTGGCGACATGAAAATGTTGCAAGCAAACTCCGAATATGAAATATTATAGTTGGAAGTTGATTTGGGCGATACATATCAGTAAACAATGTACAAGTTGGAAGATGAATGAAAAAAAAAAAAAAAAAAAACTATGGAAAAAAATAAATAAAACGGAAAAAACATCCATGTTTTTTTCTTATTATACATTTATGTGCATGTACTATATATATACATGTGTTTTGATTCGTTTGGCCTTAACGGTATTATTCTTTGTGCCGAGTCCGAGTTATTTTATTTGGCAACTTTTTTGATCTCTCGTCGTCTCCAAGCGATACATTAATTCTACTCAATCCATTGTATATACGAAGCGAGGATTAAGTATAGAGTAGCACCGGTCGTTGTACTTACTCCGGGTCAGTTATTTTTATCATTCATCTATAAAAACTAGGTATTGTCTTTGTTTCTTATTATCACTTTATTTTAGATTTTCAATTGCGAGTTTGCCTCATCGAGCTGAGCGCTGCCTTTGTCCACTCGATAAAGCACTATTCACACACACACGCACACAATGCATTGCACGGAGACGATGTATATGTATATATTTTGTCAAGACTCCCACCCCCCATGGTTAACCATTGGTTAAACGTTATACGTTAAACTTAATATTTTGCTTGATTGTATCCAGCACAGAATTAAACACGAGCATGGTTGTTAGCGTGGGCCATGTAGTTCTTCAAAAATATTGATAGTAGACATCATTCGGTAACAAAATAAAAAATACCATTGATTTTTCTGTAAAACGTTTTCCACTCCTGTTCTATAATTTTGATTTGTGATTCATTAGAGTATAAATATGAAAAATATACATTGAAAAATTTCAAGTTTCCAGTTCAACTGTCTCGATAAGGATTTTCATTCATTTTTTTAATTATTTTTGTTTGTATTTATTTTGAAATATAAAGTCAGCTACTTAAAAATAAAACATGTTCAATTTAAGATAAGTAGTAATAGGTTGTGAATTTTACATACCTAAAAATAGATAACATGATTTTACATTGGTTTCAGCACAAGCACAATACGAAATATCATTCGATGACACAACCTAGGTATGTTTATATATCTATTATCGTCATATTTGAATTACATTATTTTTGGGTAATATTTCGTTCGAAATTAAGTTCCCACTTGATATTTTGCAATTATTGTCGAACTCATTGCGAACGAACAAAGAATATTATTGGTATTTAGTAAATTACAACGATTTGTAAATTAAGATAGCGTTTTATCATTTCGTTCAATATTGTATTATAGATGTATTATAAAAAAAAAAAAAAAAAAAAAAAAAAAGGAAGAAAACTGTGAAACCGTGTAATTCAATAATATAGTTACAGCGATGGCAAAGTAGTTAGTTGTAAGCAACAATTAGTCTATTAACGGATGTGCTGTTATGTCCGCGAAACCTTCATGTCGATTTTTGGCGCTAAAAATCAGCGTCAATCAACGCCTTTGTTTCTTTATTTTACCGTCCTACTTGGTGGTTTTTATACTCTCAACAAATAAAACATCGCGTTATCC